AACAATTCGTCAATTCGTCAATCGTGAAATGACCAGAAAAAATGACGAGAAAAACCATGATATTTAGATAGAAACACCATGCCGAGACTCGGTACCATCTGGTTATGACTAACAGTTCGCCATGGTTTAGATGGCCCATAGAAATAGATGGTTTACCTATTAAAAATATTCAAAAATTGTGATTTTCCATTGCTATGAAAAATAACCAGATGGTATATCAGATTTGGAGAACACCCCTTTTAAAGGACAAACCCACGCTGGGTTTTGTGCAGTTCCATTGAATTCATCAATCCAGTGCACCATCAGTGACTTCGCACCTGCATCCCAATGCCCCAAGGACCATCATGCCTGGGTAATACCCTCTGGTTATGTCAAACTTGAGGCCGGGGGTGGATGACGAAAGCTAGCGGGGTAGGAGAAAGAAGGAAGGGAAGAGGTGAGTTGCGGAGGGACTGTCATCATCGTGTCGCGGCATTGTTCGTCCCAACGAGGATGCAACAATGATATATGATATATGATATATAACAATGATATATATGTGGGAGGGGGCAGGGGGGGGCCCTTTCGCGTGAAAAAGCACGTGATGTCCTTGGGGAGCCCCGGAATACTTGCTAAAGCAAGAAGACTCTAGCGAGCTGACGCTAGCTTTCGTGATAATGCCAATAATTGCCAATAATGATAAAATGTAATTGAATAACGATGATGATGATGATGATGAATGATGAATGATGAATGATGAATGATGAATGATGAATGATGAATGATGAATGATGAATGATGAATGATGATGATGATGATGATGATGACGAGGATGATGATGATGATGATGATGATGACGATGACGATGACGATGACGATGACAATGACGAGGACGATGACGAGGACGACGACGACGACGACGACGACGACGACGACGAGGATGATGATGATGATGATGATGATGATGACGAGGACGAGGACGATGGAGAGGACGATGGAGAGGACGATGGAGAGGACGATGACGATGATGATGACGATGATGATGACGATGATGATGATGATGGTGGTGATGGTGGTGATGGTGGTGGTGGTGGGTGAGGGGGGGGGTCCCCCCCTTTCGCGTGAAAAATCACGTGATGTCCTTGAGCAGCCCCCCCAATACTTGCTAAAGCAAGAAGACTCCAGCTAGCTGACGCTAGCTTTCGTGAATAGCTATTGAAGCCATGGCCCAGTCGAAATAGTGGATTTACCCATCAAAAATGCATGGTGATTTTCCAGTTCGCTATGTTAAATTACCAGAGGGTATGCTTCTTCTTTGTTGCAGTGAATCCACATCTTGTCCCAAGAGTCTTCATATCTCACTGGCAGCACATCATCGCCGGCCACTTGGTAGGCCTGGTTTCACGGGGCGCTGGTCATGTATCCATCTGAATCTGCATAATTTCTCATGTTTCACTTTACCTCTCATCAGGCTGGTTTGTGATAGTTACTGTACCCTACTTACGGAGAATCATTCCAGTGACGTCGCAGGAATCAGGCATTATAAAAACTATCCAAATGTATCGTCCTATCTCATTAGATCCCTACTATACCACCATTTTCTTTGGTTAAATCAGTTCAATCCCCATACCCTCTGGTAAACTAACATAACTATGGAAAATCACCATTTTTAATGGGTAAATCCACTATAAATGGCCATTTTCAATAGCTATGTTAAATTACCAGAGGGTAATATATGTCGTGAAACCCGCTCTCAGAAAGAAAAGAGTTCCAGCCAGGTCAGTAACTTGGAAACACCCACAGCTATTGATGGTGAATCGTCATGAGGTCTAGCCTCCCAATCAATAAACATTTATCAGTGATATCCCAATATATCCCAATGTCTACAGGTGAAAATCTCAAACTCTAGATCTGTTACCTTCTGTCATCAAACGTGGTTTGCTGGACAAATCCCTCGGAGAAGATGTTCTCATAGAACCCCCCATTTAACATATATTTCCCATTAAGTTATCCTTTGGTAATCTAACACAGATTCTAAAGTCACAGAGGTGAATCATCTATAAATGGGCCACTTTTCAGCTGTGAAGGTAGCCATCTACAGATTCCAGATCCATCCAGGATTGATGATTTTCTCGCCCATAAAAATATCCTGGCTTCCGCAGAAAATGGGATTTTAACCCTGGGGAGATTTTGCAAACATTTGCCCATTTATGGATATATAATGATATACCCTCTGGTAATTTAACATAGCTATTGAACATGGCCATTTATAGTGGATTTACCCATTGAAAATGGTGATTTTCCACAGTTATGTTAGTTTACCAGAGGGTATAGATGCTCATTTTCTAGATGAACCTATGATGACTTAACATGGGATTTCCCACGCTTCATCCAGCCTTTCCACCTGCCTGGGTCATGTTCTCCACCACGTGCCACATACTTTGTGCCGTGGCCGGGACGCCGTCGTTGGGGCCCAGGGACATGACGTTGGAGGGCGCAAGGGGTGAGCCCACCTCAGCTCCTGGAAGACTACGGATTTCGATCCAAACGTCGGATGATATTTGTATAATCTATACTGTGGATGGTTGCGAAATCCTGCACCAGTTGAAAACGATGGTAAACATCCCATTATTTTGTTTGGGTTTCAACCATCGAAGGTGATGCAGGATTTCGCAACCATCCACAGTAATGTGTATGTAAATACATACCTAGGTCTTCGTTGGTAGAACTTTTTCTGGGAGACGACAGGTTGTTGACTTCTTTTTGAGATATCGGTCAGAAAAAGTAGTTCTTGACCGAAGCGCCTACTTTTGCAGTTTACCGGTTTCATGTCATGTTGCATTACCATGTTACACATTCAACATCATCCATTCGTATTTCAGGTTGATTTTCTATTGTGGGCCATTGATAAAACGAAATGATGCAATGACAAGTCGGCAAAGTCAACCACCAACTACCCTCTATCCACCATAAGCGAATAAACTCGAAACTCTAACTCTGAACAGCAATGTTGGCTGGTCAATCAGCTTTGAAGTGTCAATGACAGACTCTTTGGCTCACCCTTTCTTGGATGATGTTAATTTTTGTGTGCGATGCGAAAGTTCGCGCCTACAAAAACCTTCAAAACTCCTTGAAAAACGTCAAAACGCCTACAAAAACCATCAAGCGCCTACAAATCCCAAAAACTAGGTCACTTTGTTTCTTGAATGTTTTTGACAATAAATGGGAAAATTGCGCGTCCTACCTTTTTTTTGCATGGTTCTCACGGAATTAAGTCTTTGGAAGAAGCATGGTCATGATGGCTGAAGCTCATCACCATGAGGTGGTGCATCACTTATTTTGTGGGAGACCATTTGAAGCTCCGAACTTCTTCCATGACCAACTTCTAGTAATCAAAGAAGGGGCTTGGGGAGTGATAGAATTTTCGAGGTTGCAGTGGAGGGCATAAAGTGCACGACCCAGTTTTTGGAGATATCGGCCAAAACGTCTATTTCCCCACCTGCCAGGTGAGGGTTGTTAGATTTTATGTCAGTTGCCTCCTCCTGCTCCTCCTCCTGCTCCTCCTCCTCCTCCTCTCCTCCTCCTCCTCGTCCTCCTCGTCGTCCTCGTCGTCCTTGCTCAACTGCGACCCGCGATCCACAGTGTTCTCTGCCGGACCTCAAACACGACCATCCACGCCCAGTGTTCCCTGCCGGACCTCAACCACGACCATGCACGCCCAGTGTTCCCTGCCGGACCTCAACCACGACCATCCGCGCCCAGTGTTCCCTGCCGGACCTCAACCGCGACCATCCGCGCCCAGTGTTCCCTGCCGGACCTCAACCGCGACCATCCGCGCCCAGTGGTCCCTGCCGGACCTCAACCACGACCATCCACGCCCAGTGTTCCCTGCCGGACCTCAACCGCGAGTATCCACGCCAAGTGTTCCCTGCCGGACCTCATGTAGGAAGATATGGGACAAAGAATGTGCAGAAGAAAGTTAGAAAGAAGGTCAGAAAGAATGTCAGAAGATATGCCAGAAGATATGCCAGAAGATATGCCAGATAGAATGCCAGATAATATGCCAGAAGATATGCCAGATAGAATGCCAGAAGATTTGCCAGATAGAATGCCAGAAAATATGCCAGAAGATATGCCAGATAGATATGTCAGAAGATATGCCAGATAGATATGTCAGAAGATATGCCAGAAGATATGCCAGAAGATATGCCAGAAGATATGTCAGAATATATGCCAGAAGATATGTCAGATAGAATGCCAGAAGATATGTCAGAATATATGCCAGAAGATATGCCAGATAGAATGCAAGAAGATATGTCAGATAGAGTGCCAGAAGATATGCCAGATAGAATGCCAGAAGATTTGCCAGATAGAATGCCAGAAGATATGCCAGAAGATATGCCAGATCATTTGCCAGAAGATATGCCAGATAGAATGCCAAATAGAATGTCAGAAGATATGTCAGATAGAATGCCAGAAGATTTGCCAGTAAGAAAATGTATAAATGTCATGGTGGGGATCACACGAAGTAAAGTAATTTTTTTGAAATAGTCCAGAAAAGTAGAACACTAGGGGGTCGACCAGATTTGTTTGATCTTTTGAAGACCTAGGTATTTATATGTATATGTATATATATATATTAATAATATAATGTATATATATATATCACATATATATGTATTATATTTAATATTATATTATATATAGTGCTATGTATGTAAATATGTATATACTTCTAGAGTGTTATTTATATATATATATATATATATATACATGTTTACTTTTGTATATATATATATATGTGTGTGTTTTGTTTAATGTATTTATTTATGCATATGTATATATATATATATACATGTAAAGATATCATATAACATATATAAATATATATATATAGTCATGTATGTACACATATATATATATAGAGAGAGAGAGAGTTGTTTTGCCTATTTTTATGTACATTGTTTTGTGTATTTTGAGCACTATGTATTTAAACATATTTGTAGTGGTCTATATGTCTTATAGCTGGTTAACATACCATACCATACCACACCATACCGTTGGATTGGTTTAAGAGAACATCTACAGGAAACACCCTACATCTGATGGGAAAAACCATGGCTTCCAAACCTGTTGAAAAAATGAAACGAGTTGGTGAAACAGAGTAACCGCTCCCCTGAAAATTATTGCCATGAGATAAATTTGAACATAAGGATCTGAAACTCTTAATCTGTTGGGAAAGCTATTGTTGTTCAGCTGCAGGTTGCCTCAAGCTTAAAAGTATGCACTGGTATATACTTCGTGTCTGTGCATATATATATATATCCATCGATAGCCGCATGTACACATAAAACACATAAGCATAACAATTGCATACAATTGCAAATGAAATGGACGTTTGTTAAAACCCTGGCACCCTGGTGAACACCAATACTTTTTGATCTATGGCCACATCCCTACTGGCCATGGCCAAGCTTAGATGATCCTAGATGTGTTTGATGCTTCACTTGGCGAACTCCAAACAGTTTGTTGTTGTAAACCCACAATGGAATCCATGGTTCCTTACCATCTTACCCACATGTTGTGCCACCCTTGGTTTACCCAAAAGCCCCTCACTGCTCCTCGATGATGATAAACATATGCAGAGGCAACCCTGAGCGGTATGCAATTGAGTTTTTGATACTTCCTACTTAGGGCCATCCAGGTATGTAAGGAAGAAATCATGCAGAAAACCATGATCAGTCAGATTGGTTGATCAATCACATTGGTTGTCTTTAATGTTTCCATGCAGGAAGGTCCCCCTTTTTTCGATTCGCCGAGATTTAAACCAACAAACCAACAGTACCTATCTTGGGGACCCCTGCAATGACTGGTTTCCCCCCAAGTCCCAGGCCGCCTAGCATCATTTCAGTGGATTTAATGGAAATTTCAACCGTTGGCAAATGATTTTGCACCATAAGTACACCCATATGCTGATATTTCATCATGATACAGGTCACAGTCATTAGAATATAGGAACCACAGACGTTGGTCAATGTTGATCTGGCCGACAGGGCTCAATCTGAATAAAAACATATATGAAAAAATATGTTTACCGTCTTTTTTGCGAGTCCGATGGGTCTTTGCACTTCTTGCCTTTGGGGGTGGCATCTCTATTGTGATAGATATGCAATGCCCTTCTGGAGCAACTTGTTGCATGTTTGGACTTGGTTAGAAATCTTTTCGGGCGCCACAAAGTTTTACTTTCCATTGCTACGGTCAGGCTGCAGGTGAGGAAGGAAAGAAACTTATCTGGTGTGGAAAAGTTTTTCAACGAACGCGTTCTAGTCTAGCAGCCGTGAAGCCTCTGTTTCGTCTTGCTTTGCCAGTGGAAAGCCATGCGGGTGCTGGTTAGCGCACGTTGCCTCAAGAAGGTGTGGAGACCTTTCGAAAAGTGTCATTGCAGCATTTGCAGAAACCCGTTGGGTCAGTGATAATGAGGTGTTGCCTGGTGACATCTAAAGGGGGCCACCTTCGTCGGCACGGGCTTGAAATTGCTTGGTTTCGGGACTCGGGGTTGGGGTCTGTGTGCTGTAGATCTGCCGGGCTGGTTGCGGCCGGGCCTGTTATGGCTGCCTCGGCCGCGACGGCGGGTGGTGGGGGGGGACCGATAGAACCAACTGCTTCACACCAATAAGGATATGATATCCATTCCTAGTTATCTGGTGCACGATTTTGTTCCATCTGCACATCACCATTTGGATTCCCTAAAACGGGGATATCTCCAAATCATCATCAGTTTTATGAAAGGTGTTTCCATGAAATAAACTAACCAGCTATTGGAGATCCTCCATAAAATCTGGTTGGTGGTTTCAACCCCTCTGAAAATATGAAAGTCAATTGGGAAGGATGACGTCCCATATATGAAATGGAAAATAAACTTCATGTTCCAAACCACCAACCAGAAATGTATGGAAATCCCCCACTTTTTGTTTATGGGATTGGAAATAAAAGTATTGGAATCCTACAAAATATCTAAGGAATAAAATAAAGGATCCCCATTTTTGTAGGATTCTCCATATTTCAAGATATTCCGATTCGCACTTTTCGGTGAACCGACGTCAGCCATGGCACATCTCGAAGGGATCTCGGATGATCATCACACCGCGCATGGGACCTTCGAGTCGCATCCTGGGATGACAAAACCAGGAATTCCTGGACTGGAAACCCCCAAAAAATAGGGTTATTTAACATATAAAGATACGGTTGTTTAAGATATAAAAAATATGGTTTTAAATAACCATATAACTATTACCATCGGTTATTTAACATATTGTAACCAAAATTACATCTTTCAGCCAAACAGCTATGGCTGTTAGGATAGGGAAAAAATGTCCACAGCTGGCTCCACAATCCCAATATATTATAAAAATACGGTTGTTGAAAATATTATAAATTGTGGTTTAAAAATAACCAAAACATATTACCATCTGGTTATTTCACATAGCGAACTGGAAAATCCCTGATTTTTATGATGGTTTATAGCTGGAAAAATCATCTGTTTCATGGGCCATTTTCCATAGCTATGTTAAATAATAGAAACATATGATTTTCCCAGCTATAAATAACCTCCATAAAAATAATGGATTTTCCATAGCTATGTTAAATAACCAGAGGGTACCCATAGTTAAATGGGGGCCAATAGTTAGCTAAGTTGCTTTATAACTATATAACAACAAGTTGGTGTATGATACGCAAAAAACTATATAAATTTAGATGGGGTTCTAATTCTAAACCAACTTATAACTGGGGGGCCCCATCCTGTACCAAATATGGGGCATTCTGGTGCCATACCAAAATAGAGGATTGAAACTATTCTGTCACTATATGGGTAAATCGGCGTTGATTGGGCTCATAACGTGATTTCTTTGAAGTATCTGGAACATTCTGGAACCCCAAAGGACCAGAAATTGCCATGGCGGTTTCCCCATTGTCAACCGTTACTGGTTGGGGTTCTTCACGACCATAGGGAAACAAACTGGATATTTCTGGAACTGGGTTCCAGTGTGTTCCAGAATCTGTTTCCAACTTGACACTGGTGGTTTTTCGCCACCCCTCTGAAAAATATGAGTTCGTCAGTTGGAATGATGACATTCCCAACTGAATGGGAACATAAAATTCATGTTCCAAACCACCAAGCAGTGACATATAGGAGACATGTTTTGGAATATCACTTGATGGTTCACCACACTTAGTCGCTGCGAGTATCACCATTGGTCCACCATTGGGTTGAACATATCGGGGATCATGATTTACATATGTTCTTTGGCTACATCATCCTACATGGACATTGATCCTCTAAAACAATGCTCGCTCATAGGTTTTGATCTGTCCCCATATTTTTTTTGGGTGAATATATGATTTTCAAACTACCCAAAATCACCCTTCAATAAATTTCCCCAAAATGATAGTCCTAAAATCTATGGTGTTAAACACGGTAAAACACCATTAAGGTTACCTCAAGGGACTAGCTTCCCCATGTCACCGACTCAACCCTGACTCGGCGAGCCGGTTGCGCGTCATGCGTTGCGCATGCGTTGCGCTGCCGCGGTGCTGTAAAATCGTCCTGGCGTTGTTGGTGTTCTGGAAGCGCACCGGGGCCTTTGTGTCCTGGCGCCAGGTTGATCCGCTGAGCAAAACGTGGTATACCAACGGTGTCATCAAACATGCCTGGGACAACTCCCGAATATTTCACTGGTTGGTGGTTAAAAAAACATCTTGAACAATATGAGTCAATGGGAAGGATGACATCCCATATATGAAATGGAAAATAAAATTTACATCCTCTCAAGTTGCTTCAAACCCCCTTAGGGACCATTTTAGAACCCAAAAATTGTTTCTAAAATGGAATCTACAAGGGGGGTCTTTGAACCCAATTTGTTTGGCAGCTATTCCGTTTTTGGGTTCTAAAATGGGTTCTAAAATGGTATCTTCCACCCTTAAAAAACATTAAAAAACATTTAAAAAATCCTTGTTGAAACCATCGCATTTCAGGAAAAAACGATGAGGAAATCCGCGCTCCCAAAAAATAGATCAACATGAGGCGAAAAAAACAACAGTGCAAAGAGCACTCCATGATACTCCACAACATTTTTTAGTGGGTGGCGGCCACAGATGGTCGTATCATTTACTACCTATGGAGCCAGGTTTTTGCCCGCGCTCTTTGCTTCCTTTCTTGCCAAACCATTAAAGTACACCCGAACCCAAAATGCCTTCAGAATGTCCCCTAAGTCACCCCTTTTCAAACGAATCTAGTTTTGGACTCGTTCCATTTCCCGTGCGACTGTTTGTTTAATTTTATGCAGACATGTCCAACCAGATAAATTTTCAATAAAACAGCAAACTCCTACATGCAGTTTTTTCAAAACAATATAGCGTCAAAGGAGAAAAACAAGGAACAAATCATCACATGCGGAATCAGCAAGCAGCTGTGTGTCAAACTACAGTTGTCGCAGCTGTCACTTTAAAAAAATGTAAGTTTGCCTGTGCCTACCTTCATCAGGACACCACTGACTGGACACTTGTCTTTTGGGATATTTGGGGGGGCTGGAACGCTATGGCACAGAGATGTCACCCTAGACAATGCACCTTGAAGATTTATCTTTGGGAAGGGTTCTGGAATGGTTTCCAGCTTGGCCAAACGTGTGAAATACCAGCTACCGCAAGGGGAAACCATTTTAGACCATTGTATGCTTAGATAACTTACATATGAGCATTTGTTGCACAGGCATTCGTCTACTTGTAGAAGAACAAAAGATGGCAGAAATAGTTTTTAGCTGACTTGATTACCACTGAAATTCATTGGCATTGGGTTGTACCTGCCTACCTACCCCTGTAGGTATTTATCTTTGGGAAGGGTTCTGGAATGGTTTCCTGCTTGGCCAAACGTGTGAAATACCAGCTACTGCAAGGGGGAACCATTTTAGAACTGTTGTATGCTTAGATAGCTTAGATAGCTTAGATATGTTCATTTGTTGCACAGGCATTCGTCTACTTGTAGAAGAACAAAAGATGGCAGAACCAGTTTTAGCTGACTTGATTATCCCTGAAATGCATTCGCATTGGGTTGTACCTGCCTACTTACCCCTGGAGGTGTTTATCTTTGGGAAGGGTTCTGGAATGGTTTCCTGCTTGGCCAAACGTGTGAAATACCAGCTACTGCAAGGGGAAACCATTTTAGAACTGTTGTATGCTTAGATAGCTTAGATAGCTTAGATATGTTCATTTGTTGCACAGGCATTCGTCTACTTGTAGAAGAACAAAAGATGGCAGAAATAGTTTTAGCTGACTTGATTATCACTGAAATTCATTGGCATTGGGTTGTACCTGCCTACCTACCCCTGGAGGTATTTATCTTTGGGAAGGGTTCTGGAATGGTTTCCTGCTTGGCCAAACGTGTGAAATACCAGCTACTGCAAGGGGGAACCATTTTAGAACTGTTGTATGCTTAGATAGCTTAGATAGCTTAGATAGCTTAGATATGTTCATTTGTTGCACAGGTGTTCGTCTACTTGTAGAAGCACAAAATATGGCAGGAACAGTTTTAGCTGACTTGATTATCCCTGAAATTCGTTTGTCTGTCACTACAGCTGTTTCCAGTGGGGAAAATTTCTACCTACCAATTTGCCGCTCACTTCACCTATTGGGCCCTTTCGTTCAGAGATGTTGAGCTAGACAATATTTGGCCCACGCCTTTTCGGAATTAAATCAAAAGAACAGCCCAAATGCATGCAAATCTCTAGCAAATGCACGTACATTTTCGACGCGAATTTTGCAGCCTCTTGTGACACAACATGCAAAAGCCACTTTATGTGTGCCTCGATCAGGTGACGGCAAAAGAAGCAAACATGCAAAAAATAAACTCAAAAAACCATGCGTTGCTGGGGTGAATGCAAAGGTAAAGGTACAGCTAACCACTTCAAAACTGAGCTGAACCCACAAGTTCCCCCAGTCAGAAATTTTCTTACCATGTACTGAGATCAAGAAACAAACTGAACTGTGAATTTGTCAATTTTTCTACCGTGTATCTGTATATAATCCTTCTGGGTTTTTGTGCCGAATGGCATTGGTTCGGCAATATTGTTGCGACATAGTGCAATCGAGCCTTGTAAATCACCACAAACATAGTTTCAACAGGAGGATCAAACTGGCAAATTGCTTTCAACCACCGGCTCACTAGGGATCACAAATACCTGCACAAAACCTGCACCATATATCATCATATGCTATTATAGAAGCGTCCAAGGTTCTACAATGCTTACGGGACCGGAGGTGCTACAATGATTTTTTTTCATTCTAGAACCCTCCGTGTTTATCCCCAGGGGGGGGCATTCTAGAACCTTCCAACTTGAGGGTATAAATTTACTGTATGTTTGAAACCACCAACCAGTTCATGAAGGTTTCTAGCTTGGAAACTCATCGAACTAAATTGGGAGATTTTCGAGCAAAACATGTAACTGATTACCGGAGAGTAAGCATCAAAAATGGTTATCTATATAAACATGATCAAGAATGACGGTCACAATGCCCTTCCAATCAGGTTCGTTGGTTGAGAAACTCAACCCGCAATTCACATCCATGAAAACTAGACTTCGATGTATCTAGCATAGATCTAATGTGGCTAAAACAATAATAAACCATCCCCCAGTCATCACCATTTTTATAGCTTCCCCCAAAAGATTTTTTTGGGGGGTTCCAAAGTCATGGGGGTACCCCAATAATAGCTGGATGGTTTATACAGAAAAATCCTATCAAATGGATGATTTAGGGGTACCTCTATTTCAGGAAACCTCCATATTTGAGAATATCACCAACAGAAATTGGGGTATAGAATAAACAAAATGGCGATAAATTAAGAAAGGGACATGAGATTCATTGCATTGGTTTTGAGGGAAAAATTGATCGTTGAAACCATGCAACATTTACGCCAAACATTCAGAGTTTCAGCCTTTTTTCCCCACCAATTCAGGGGTACAACGGAAAACTTGTCATTTTTAAGCAACGAAGTGGCAAATGTTGAATTGGACATTACCGGTGGAATATTCAACATAACTATGGAAAATGGCCCATTTATAGTTGAGTTATGATGACTTACCTATTAAGAATTGTGATGTTCCATGATTTTCCAGTTCGCTGCGTTGAATTATTAGAGGGTATCGATTTTCCATTGCCATGTTTGACTACCAAAAGGCAAAGTACATGGGTATTGCCATCTACGAAAGATCAACTGTCAGGTTTCTATAGTCATAGAGGTATCCCAATAGCTGGATGGTTTACAATGGAAAATCCCAATCTAATAGCTGGATGATAACTGGGGGTTACCACCATGACTTAGGAAACCCCAAATGGGTTCCGGCCGCAGTTCAATCCCAATGACACATCCCGGCGCTGCTTGAACCAAGCCTTTTTTGGGTCGTTCAACCCCGGGGAAAGGAAAAAAAACATGATTCTCCGATTCCCGCATGTTTTGATATGTTTATAATTACCGTTGTTTCGCAATCTTGGAGGGTAGATATCCACTTTTTATGGCTAATGCCAGAGTGCTCATCTATATGAAAAACAGCCACCACTTCTATGCGCAAATCCACCATTTTTCGAAAGAATCCAGCACATCAGTCACATCAGGGCTTGTTTCACAACCCAATCCCAATCCCAATCTGTAGATAGCCTGCACAAAAAAGGAAATGCCTAGCATGTTTGATGAATAGCCTACACACGTCCCCGTAGTTTGATCAAACATGTGACGAATAGAAAGTGCCACGCAAAAGTACACAACGGTTGGTGGAAAAAACCTACCCCTCTGAAAAATATGCGAAAGGCAGTTGGGATGATGACATTCCCAACTCTTTCTGGAAAGTCAGTCAAAATTCCATGGTTCCAGTCACCACCAAGCAGAAAAAAGGCCCTACCGGTGTCATCCACCATGGCTGGTGACGTTTATTTTGCGGCTCCTGGCAGACATGCTCCCCACCCATCGAGGTGATCACCGCCCCAGCGGATTTCACAATGTAGTGGCACGAGAAATTCCTGGGAACTCACTGGTCGACCCAAAATATTTTGTGGAAAAAAATGCAGATCAAAAGACCTGCGGCTTAGGAGATTTAACTGGTGATTTAACTGGTGTGTGAAATTTGGCGTTTGGGTTTACTTACTGGTGCGAAACGCAGGGAATTTTCGGGAATGATCCATAATCACTATTAATAATCATCCCAGCAACCCCCATTCCCATCCATCCCCTACTAAGCACCAGTAAGTTTACTACATTGAGAATATACATGAAGTAAAATCTATGGTAACCCAATGCAATACGTGGACGATTGCCCTAGTTACTGACTATTACTGACCCATACTGACCCAACGGAAGGAACCAGGTTTTCCAGGATCAACCAACCAGCAAGCTGAGATCTGGCAAGCTTGGTAAATCAACAGGTCTGCGAGTGCTCAAGCACACTGTCTGAAAAAATGTGCTTGAACAGCATATCGACATATATCGACTATCATCCCATATGTTGCAAACAAAACATGAACGTTTCAAAGCACCATCAGCACCATACAGTTTTAGAAGAAACAACTGATTATTTGGGACTGTCAATTCGATGCGCTTTCCCCATCTTTTTTAGCGCCATGAATTCTGGCGCCTGATAGAGGTCACAACAGACCAAAATTGCAGCTGGCTCTTTTGCATGAGGCTCCTGAGGTATAACTCAATGATTCAATGTTCATCCAAAACTCTATATAACATCTTTATCATCTAATTGAATTGTTAAGTTCCATTACTTAGCAGATTTTCTTCTGCACAAAGGGAGGTCTGTTGCACCAAAGGATTAAAGGATGTAGCATCAACTCCCCGTTTTGCAGGCGTACCCTCTGGTTATGTCAAAATAGCTATGGAAAATGGCCATAGAAATAGTGGATTTACCCATTAAAAATGGTGATTTTCAATAGCTATGTTAGTTTACCAGAGGGTATTCATGTTGTTTGTCATCCCCTGATCCAAAATTTCTTCCCGGATTCCCGGTACCGAACACCGGTTCGAAAAAAATGGATCCCAAGCGTCGCGCCAAGGATATCAAAGGTGCGCCGCATGACGTTCCTGGGGTTTTTTCGACTCTCAATGGAAAGAACTTGAAACCAAACAAATGAGCCATTAAGAGTACCCTGGTTGATTGGTTAATATAATATATATATATATATATATATTATATATATATATATTATATATATTATATATATATATATATTGTAAATATAGGGACTTATATACTAATCTATTAAGGATTATGATTATAATACTCCGTAGTAGAGAAATCTATCAACCAACTAGTGTAATGAAATGATATAGGCATAGGGCTATTTCAATGGCTCACATGTCCAGTGGCATGATGTGGCTTCTAACTGGCCGTGAAGTTGTGATTGGGATCACCGTGGTAGAACGCCAGAGGCGCCACAACCCGTTACTGGGAACAACTTGAGTCTTAGCAGGACATATGATGATATATGAATGTTCCTGCATCAAAATCGCTAAAGGAGACCTGATGAAAACAAAAAGCTTCACGAAGATCGACACCATTTTATTGGTTACATCAAATTACATCCCACTTGTTGTTGCTTGCCAATTGTCAAATCAAAACCGGTTTGACTATAGAATTTTACATGATTTTACATGGTTTCTCAAACACGAAGTCTGTTTTAATGATATCCACCAGGCCGGCCTTCGGGACCAGGGACTGATGTAGCTATAAACTCGTCAAAACCAAACGGGTCAAAACCAAACGGGACCCAAACGGTACCACAAGTCATCGCTGGTGCTGCATGTTGATTCCCCCTTTTTGGATTGGCAATGGCTCATAGGTTTTGGCCCATGAAACCCCTTTATTGAGTTTTATTGTCACCAACATGTATGGCTTAGCTTTGGGTTCTGCTTCCTTGGTTAAACAAATACCCAACTGATGCAGTGGTCAGCACTGAAGTGCTGAGAGTCCGCAGCAAGTGGCTGCCTGCCTGGCTGAAAAAAGGCTGATGGCTTCACCAAAAATCTGAAAAAACTGGGCTGTTTCCGGCGTGACTTTCGATCCAAGAATCATCAATCAATGGATTGGTTTAAGGGAAAATCTACAGGAAAGCCCCATTTTTAATGGGAAAATCTATGGTTTCCTGTAAATTTTCCCTTAAACCAATTCAATCAATCAAAGAATCATCAAAGCTATCAGCTATCCCCGCCAAAACCTTGACCCTTTGGTCACTAAAACGGAGTTTCAAAACCTCTGGACCATACCCCATGACGGATCCATGGTGCTGCTATATATGGTAACATGGATCCCATCAACATACCCCAGTCATGTTAGCATATATACCAGCACCATGGATCCGTCATGGCTACCCCAAAAGACCTCCATGGCCGGCGCCTTGTGGCTGGTGCCCACCAAATAGTTCCGTCGATCCCAAGGCGTGGGTAGTGACGCGTGCGACGCGTGCGACGCGTGCGTCTGCAGCAGCAGATTGCCGCCATCGTCGCCTGGAGACGATCGCGTGGGAAAGTCCTGGTGGAAACAAAGTCATAGGGGATACCCAAAAAAAACTTTTGGGATAGAAAAAATGATGGAAATTTCCAAAGGGATGATAACTGGTACAGTACCCCTATTTCAAGAAACCTCCATATTGATGAAATACTGACTTGCTTCACCCTATGTCATAACATGTCATAACATGTCATAACATGTCATAACATGTCATAACATGTCATAACATGTCATAACATGTCATAACCCAAATGAAATCAGTGGGCTGACTAACCCCATGGAAATATAACTAAGCCACTTACGACTCTTGTTTTCATAGTTCAAATAGCTTGCTGTTGCAGATGCAACATTGGTATATAACTAGACTCACTGACTGGAGAAGGGTTTTGCTGGAGGATATTATCCATAGCTGGAGGGGTTTACCAACCAACATTAATATCTGGTGGGGTCCTTCCCAACTGTGCAGATGTTCCAGAGCTCCCAACTTCATGGCAGTGTAGGTGTTTTTTGACTCATCCAGAGCCACTTGCATCGATAAATGGTGGCTCTGAAGTCCCTGGTCACTGAGACTTGACGTTTTTTGTGTCCCAGCCCGGATTTTGACAAAATTGTGATAGAGAGTGTCCTTTCATAAATTTGCAACCCCCCAATAAGTAAACTAGGGATGATTAATCCCGGGTTGATATTTTGAAATTCTTTGAGTGTGGAAGAACCAGAGTTGCTTGGCAGTCATCAACATGTCCATTCCTTCTGTGTATCACCACTGTTTTGCTGCCTCAACTTCCATACTTTTGCTGATGAACAGTGAACTCCCTGATGTCGGGTGTAGTGAAACGTCCAAACAGAGAAAAACACTTGAAGTTGTCTCAACATATTTGGAACATGTTGGAACCATAAAACAACACACGTCTTAGGGCAGTATAGTAACAACATGTAACAACTATTGGGGACGAAACCAATAGAAACCTCATCTTGTCCAAGGCGCAGGATGTTAGGGCACCTTGCTGAACAGAAGGGCTTGCTGGAAGACAGCTCACTAGCAAAGAGAGCCTCACAACCTGCCATTGGGGTAGAATGGAGGTAAGATGCAAACAGGTGGAGATGTTCATCCAAAGTTGTTGATTAAACCATAACTACTGTGAAAATAATGACAACCCGCATACAAATGCACTTCTGACAGTGGCCCCCAACGCGCGACATCTTTTGATCACCCTTTGTTTGGAGTGTGGCACGATTGGGGAACTTATCCAATGTCCGGGGTACTCCGATGTTTAGAATCATCACCTTTTAGAATTCAACCATACATTCTCGTGGGCACACTCCAATTTTGTTGACACTATCCACATGTTTTAGGTCAATAAAAGCAATACTTTATGGATTTTTATGGGCTTTAAGTACTTTTAAGTACCTTAGCAACATTTACCCCAATATCAATCAGTCATGTAGATAAGTAATAAGTCATGCTAAATGTTATCCAAACATCTCCAAAACAATCCCAAAAAATCAAGCAGTATCACTCAGTCATGTGGACAAGTCACCCTCTGGTAAACTAACATAGCTATGGAAAATCACCATGTTTCATAGGTAAATGAACTATTTCTATGTGCTATTTTTAGTTTACCAGAGGGTATCTTAAATTTCTCCAAAAATCACCCAAAATGGATCAGGTGGGTAGTTGTCAGTTCAAGTAGCTGAAATCTTCATTGCCAGCACCAAACCATGGACGAGGACAACAGGCCGTGCGGGCTCCGTGCGGCCCGGGGGTGGTGGGGTTTCCGACCCGGCGCGGCTGAGCGAAAGTGCGGATGGACCAACAACTGGAGGATCCTCCCCTCTGCTTGTGGCCCCACTGCGTAAATGGCTGAAAACGTCGTGGATTATATGGATATTTAAAAATTTATTTCTGGAATGATTTTTGGGTGATCTATTTCTGGCATTTTCGAAAAACCCTGGAAATATCCAAGACTTATGGGGCCACATCCCAGTTGGTTTTTAACACAGATTGATCCCATGAGTGCCATCCACAGCTATGCAATTCGTCCTGGGTCCTGGGTAGCCATAGGATTGTACCACATGACCTAACCATAATCATTGATATAATATTAATATATATATATATATAATGGCTACCCGTTGTTAGACCTATCAATTTTTGATGGCCATAATCATAGGATAGCCAATGATTACCATAATCATTAACATTATTACCTATCAATATAATGGCCAAATAATCATTGTTTGGCTCTCCGTTGAGTTATTAATTGGAGTCTTTGTAGCTTCAAATGTTGATTTAAATCATGATGAAAAAAGATGATGCCTACCTTGATGTGCATCACATTTACTCCTTGGCGAACAAAACCATCCAACCTAGTTTTATATGGGGTAGATGCCCAACTATACATGATGTCCCAGCTACATTTGGAATGGAAAAGCTATTAAAGAACAGAATGGAGTCTGGTTGGGGATGCAATGTGGTCATGGCCTACACCCTAAAAAGTGACTTGTTCAGTGCCATTTACTTAGTCAAAAAACAAAGAAGTCAAACCCACTTCTATATTGGGGATACGCCATGAAATGCCAAGTATATATGGGGTCCATACTACATGTACTAGAAAAACCTGGGGACTTCCCAAACACGAGAGAAGGAGGCGAGCATCATGAGCAACCAGCAACCAGTGTGACTTCGTCAGACAAATACCTTCTGGTAAACCAACATAACTATTGAAAATGGCCCATTTATAGTTGATTTACATATTAACTATTAACAATGGTGATTTTCCAGTTCGCTATGTAAACGTTTACCAGAGGGTAGTAAGTGGGTGATATTCCTGGTTGTAAAAAAGCCTTGGGTACGCTTGGAAAACTGTGATCCAGGCACCGATTCGTGGAAAATCCACCATGTTTTGATCATTTTCTGAGGAATGAATATGGGTTTTCCAGATCTATGTCAACGTTTACCCCAGGGTAAATCACCATTTTAATGGGAAAACTCACTATAAATGGTCATTTTCAATAGCTACGTTAAATTACCAGAGGGTATATAATATATAACATCAATCTGGTTGGTGGTTTTGAGCCTACCACTCTGAAAAATGATGGACTTCGTCAGTTGGGATGATGACATTCCCAATATATGGAAAAATAAAAAATGTATAAACATGTTCCAAACCACCAACCAGTCATATTGAAAGCTATGATCTACTTACTAACCTGGGACGAAACATCATGCAGTGAAGAGATATCACTGCATAATGCCGGTTTTCAACATGTGGTAGACAAACATGGTTGGTTGGAAACTTCAACATTTCTAGATTTTCAACATTTCTAGATTTTCAACATTTCTAGATCAACATTTCTAGATCAACATTTCTAGATTAAAGTTCTTGTTATTAAAGTGCTTGTTAAACATGCCGATTTCCAGACTGCCAAGTCAAATTACCAGAGTGTAACTGGCTGGATGTGGTCACAATTTTACGAAAGGTTGCCCATTGAATGTGGGATGCTCCGCCAAGTCACTTGTATCTATATAAATCTATTGTATCTCAAGCAATTAATTTCGGTATCTCTGTGATGTTCATGATATTTCAATCATTTTCAATCTGTCAAAATCTCCTCCTCCCCTTTTGGGTGTCCCATTGGATGCTGACGACGTGAAGCCTCCACCAGGATCCAGCACGTTTCATCGCGAGGTCACAAACATCAAATGTTGGGAAATCTCGTCATGACTAGCTAAGACTAGCTATTAAAATAGCCAGTTTTGAATATGACTTGTGAAGTCTCCAAGTCGGGGTAAAAAAAAAACCAAGTATAACCGACTAGGGGCCCCCTTGCCCCATCTCACCAAGTCGTCGCTGTGCCTTGCCCCAAGGGCCGTTGGGCGCAATCAACTTGGCTAGCTCCATAGTGCCACCAAGGACAATGGACTCAATGGACCCTCTAATCTGAAAATTACCTGTAAAAATTGCAGGAGAAAAAACAGGTAATTTAATTCAGCTACAAATTCGACTTTAAAAAACACCAAAAAGGATTCAAAGATACTACAAAATGAGGCATTTTTCATTGCCATGATTGATTTTGGAGCGCAGAGGCATGCGTCTGTGTGCGTGTCATGGTATCATGTCACATTTCCAGTGTGTCATGGACTGTACGAATGTTGACCGGCTTCAGACCACGGATGACTGAGTTGTGAAATCCTTGGTGAGACTGGCCGATGAGAGGAATAACTCAGTAAATGAAAGTACAGTGTACAAAAAGTGACATGAACTGATCATGTGCATGTTGATGTTAACTATTTCAACATAAACCAATATACAACATACAGTATAAGCATCTTACATGTTCAAATTATGGTCATTTCAACATCTTTCCATGCGCGGTTCGGTTTGAACCAGGACATGGGAAGACCGTCTTTGTCCAGGCCCTGTGCTCCAGGTCGGCCTGAAGTTCTTCAACTGGGATCAACTGGGTAAATGGGATGTAAATGGGAAAATTCCAACGCTGACTAGTAAACAATGAACTTCAGAAAATGTGAACTTCATAATTATAACCCGATGTGATATAGTCTCACTATTGTTACTTATAGACTGTATTGTTCATCTGAAAAACCCTCTTTGAATCGTCCTCAGTTTCTGGGAAAATCCTCCGCTTGGATGCCCGAAGTAGTTAGTGGTTAGCCAATCATGCTGTGAGTAGACACTGCCAAAAGCAAAACACACCAATCTTGGCATTGCCTCATTTCCAACTCGGAAATGTGTTTGGGATGTTCTTAGTAGCTCCGCTCCCCGATTTATAGGGAATGCCAGCAGTACCACGCAAGGCGGTGGCGGAAGTTTCAAAGATAGGACACTATAGGGGATTTGTTGTGATGCATGGATGGCAGAGCGAATCCACTGATGGACCGAAAGGTGGTTGGAGCTGTGTTTTTTTGAGTGGTTGCAATGGTTGCAGTGGTCACCTCACCCACAACTGCTGCATGTAGTGTGGTGTATTGCAGTAGTTGTAGTTGCAGTTGCAGTTGTAGTTGTAGTGTGGTGTAGTGCAGTGGCAGTTGTCTATCTATCTGTCTATCTATCTATCTGTTTATCTACTTGTTTTTCTGTTTATCTATCTATCTATCTATCTACCTATCTATCTATCGATCTATCGATCTATCGATCTATCGATCTATCTCTATCGATCTATTGATCTATCGATCTATTGATCTATCGATCTATCAATCTATCGATCTATCGATCTATCGATCTATCTATCTGTCTATCTGTCTATCTGCAAGTTTGAAGCTATTCTGCGAGACTTCCTCAATTTTTGAACTTGACAACATCAAAAACGCAGCAATTCTGCGAGACTTCCTGAACTTTTGAACTTGACAACGTCAAAAACAAAGCTATTCTGCGAGACTTGAACTTGACAACATCAAAAACTAAGCAATTCTGCGAGACTTCCTTCAAAAATGGAAAGTTGAGTGCAGAGCTGACGGCCTCGTACCAATGCGTCTTGCGATTTTTCCATTCCATCTGTCTAAAGTACTGCGCCTGCCACGAAAAAGTGATGCCTGGTCATACGAAGTGCTGCACCTGCCACGCAAAATCATCTTAGCAAACCAGAAGATCTGATGCTCCAAAATGCAACCTCTCTCAGGAAATCAGCGCCCGGACCTCCTAACATCTCTGATGAACATGTGTTTTGTACTGTGCCTGCCACGCGAAATGCATCTTTGCAGATCCCCTTCAAATGCCCCACGCCTGCCATCGTTTTTGGAAATGCCACAAAACCCTCATGTTGTGCTCACTTTTGGCAAGGTGCAGAATCCCTTGGGCCTGCCACGCAAAACCACATCTGAGCATGTGGTGTTTTTAACATTTTGGCTTGGAAATGTGCTTCGCGCCACAACAGCGTGCACTTTTTCAACATCTCAACTTCCAAAAGTGGTCTGAACCTGGTGTGCTTTGCACATTTTGACTTCGAAATGTGCTTCGCGCCACAACAGCGTGCAATTTTTCGTCATCTCAACTTCCAAAAGTACTCCGAACCTGATGTGCTTTGTACATTTTGACTTCCACATGTGCTTCGCACCACAACGGCGCGCAATTTTTCATCTCTCAGCTGACCAGCTGGCTCCGCACCCGCCGCTTTGGCGAGCCTACTTTTCGAACCTCCGGAGCCACAAATCATTTGAAAACACAGTGAATGGTGACTCTTCTCCCTTTTCGCGCACCTGCATCTTCTTTCTTCTGACTCTTTCTCTTCTCTGATCTTCTCTCTTCGTCTCTTCTCTTCCTCTTCCCACCTCTGCTTTTCCATCTGTCCATATTGTCGGAAGTTTGACTTCGAAACTTCCTTCGATGAATACCCCTAGCTCCTTAGCTCCCTCCTTGCCACCGGATACAGGATTACCCCACAAAATGTCCTACTTTTGGCTGAATCAAATACGATCTGTGGGATGAACATCCAGCTAATTACAAATCTCCGAAATCCAGCCTGGATTTTACACTACGGGCATAGTATCTGGCTGCATTACTATAATATACTGTAACTCCCAAACCTGAAACAAACACATGTTGGATGTTTCTCCCGATTCTATCCCGATCCTAACCACCATGTTCAGGCATGTTCAGGCTACATTTGGCCAAATGATATCTAATATCAGATATAAGTCAAAAGGAATGACTATAATTTGTAACTATAAGTGATGCTAAAAAATACAAAACATGTCTTGAAAGTTCTTGAACAAGCAACCCCTGCATCTTAAAATACCCATTCTGCAGGTCCATGGATACCCCAGGTTCGACGCGCGCGAAAAACAACGAGAGCCGCATCTCCGTTTTTGCTGCTATTCGGCATGTCGCCAAAAGGCTTGGGACCTGCTGACAGGTGCCTGGAGGATCATCCCTAGGCGAACTCGCCAAAAGTATAGGATAGATTAGGATAGTATAAGTCGCTTAAGAAGTGGGATGATCCTCCAAGTATCCCTAGAAAATCGTGGATTTTTGAGGATTTCACCAAGAATAAAGGAATCAACATGAAATTCATGACGTTCACCATGAAAAGGGATTAAATTCCTCGAAATTGAAGGGATTCAAGACTGGAAGCGTCAAATCTTAAAGCTGATTGTCCTAAACTCTCACCAAAACCCACAAGGTGTGGTCATATTCATTCAGTTCATCCATTTTGGGGCCTTCATATCCAATCATCTTTTTGACCTACACCAAAGTGGCCTCCAGAAAGCCATAATAGTCATGCCCAGTCGTTCATTACATTGCGCGCAAGATTTGCCAAGCCAAGTAGATGATCTGTCTCGAGTCAGGGGGTGCACTCTGGTCTTCAACCACTACAATATCCAATCCGCAAGTTTTGATGAATTCTCTAAACCAGTTGCAACAATAACTCGCGGGTTTGCCCATTGGGAATCTCAAAAAACAGGTCATAAAATTACTTCATAAACAAAACTCATGCCGGATGTCGCTCCACCTCCACTTCGCAAACGTCCATTAGTAACAATATTCAACAATGTTTCTGGGGTAAAACCCATCATCATCAGCATCATCATCATCCTCATCCTCGACGGGTGAGTCTTTAGCCGTTTAGTAAATGTGCCCCCACACATCCAAGTAACCTTCTTCTTGACTAAGTTGAAGCATTAACTCCCAATTCTTGGCAAGTGAATCCCTCATTTATCCCAAGAATAGCTTTTCCAATATATCCCGTTCAACCTCCGATACGCCATAATAACCCGCTTCAAAAACTCACTGTCTGCAAAGTCCGGGCTGAAGGCATGGATGGTTGTCTGGGACCCTGGGACCTCTCCATCTCCTGGGGCTCTGCAAGTTCTGGGACCTCGATCTCCGCAGCCAGGAACAGGTGTCACTACGCAGCCGGGCTCAGAACCTGAGTCCATCACTGGTGCTGAGAGCATCACTGGCGTCGATCCCAGAGATCCAGATGCCCAGAGATTCCCAGGAAAACTCGCTCAGCACATGGCTCCTGTAGGATGCTTCCCCCTTAGCCACCATTTCTGACGCCTCTGTGAGGTGGATGGATCATCCCATGTCTACATGTCTACGGTAGAAAATCACAAGATGTTTGAAACCAACAGCTGGCTATCCAATTAGTTATAATATATATATATATACCATCTGGTTATGATTAACATAGCCATGGAAAATCACCATGCTATTAATAGGTAAGCTTCTATGGGCCATCTATACCATGGCACACCGTTAAATAACAAGAGGGTATATATATATATATATAGACAATGTAGTAAGAATCTAAAACTCCAATCCAGTCTTCATCTTAATAACCCGTCTTGGATTTTCATGCGAATCTGGAATCATATATATGTACATTGCCTTCCAGTAATCAAACATGGCTGTGAAATGCTCAAACTAAATTGGCATTAAAATCGGGATTTGCGCCATGTTTGATTGCGTACCTGGAGGATTATCCACTTAGTAATTGCTTTGTAAAGGTAATCCTCCAGGAAATATCCTCTATACTAACCAATTACTATCCATATTTCTGGGTAAATTGTAATAATTCACTAACCTGAAATAAGGTAATTTGGGGATGATTTCACATACTAACCATCATTCCCAGAGAGGTCGCAGTGAGGTCGTTATAATTTGCCCAGATATTTATCCATGGTTTCAAGCCAGTGAATCCATAGTAAATATGGGATAAGCGACGAAAAAAGGGACGAATCCGATCACCATCTATTCATATCAAACACCCCATAGAAACCACATAGGGTTATACACATATTTTAAGATAAATTACCCAAATATGTATACTCCATATTTGGTGCTTATAGTACCATGTCATCTGCAAAGTGAAGAAAACAGAAGAATGCATAACTCCCGTGTCATCTGTAAAGTGCCCATTGATTTTCTTAACCGTCTTAACCATTTAGGTGGTGTTTATATTACATTGGCCGGAGGATGAGATTAGCCATTGCCACGTGCACCGCCTTCTCGCAGCCTCCGGAAAGGCTAGCCTCTTCCTGACCAATTTGGGAAAATCGTCGGAACAATATGGGAAACCATGGGAAAATCCTCTACGAACGGAAGTTTATAGCTGGACAAATCATCTATAGATGATGGATTATACAAAAATATATTATGCATAGATTCTAACTGCATTATGAGCTAATTCACTGCACTAACCTGAAAGCAGCTGAAGTAAAGCCATTTGGGCATAATTCTCCATATATATAGTTGATATAATTAAAATCATCATTCCAGTGACGTCAGAGTGAGGTCACTGCAATTCATCCAAATACCATAAAGAAATTACCATAAAACATGGCAAGCTATTTGGGTCATACAGTAATTGAAAACAACATTGGGGTCTTCGACATATCTTGACACCAAGCGGACAAACAAAAACACGAAACACAGGCGATCTGGTTGGTTGAGCCACGATGCACCAATCTTTTTGGCCTCGTTCTATTTGGAGATTTGAAAGAACATCGCAAAGATAGTAGGAAGTCATTCCACAAACTACAAACCTACTATGTGTCTTCTTTGTCTTCTTCTTGCGCATTGTTTTCTTAGAAATAAAACAAAGAAACCATGGGAAATTCGGGACATAAGATTCGGTGACCCCTTTATCCATCTTAGGAAAAAAACATCGTGGTTTCTTCTTTATCTTCTGAACGTTCGGTTCTGGAAACTCAGGCTTTCCCGAGGGTTCAGCTCGCCATTTTGGGCAATGGCCTTTCCAGTTCCTTCAAGATACCAAGGTATGGGGAACACCTCGGAGACTCGGAGACATCGCGATAAGGTCATGGTAGGGTCCCCTGGTGAAACCTGGGTCCCCTGGGTGCAGGTCCAGGTTTCTTCCCGCGATTGGATGAAAAAAACGAAATGTGGCATTTTATTGGCTTAAGCTAATGTGAAAAACCCAATCATAAATCATATCATGAAAATCACCTATGGGTGGTTTGTGGGCCACGGTCAATATTTAGTATATAGCTCCAAGTCATCAATTGTTGAAGAGTGTATCATCGTTTCTCAGGTTTTGTGAATATAGCAAATGTTATCGTTTTTTGAAGAGTGTATCATCGTTTTCCAAGCCCCAGCTCAATTTCCAAAAAATCAAGATGTCTCAAATACTACTTTCCACTACGGTCGATTTTGGCTGTAGCTCAAATATGAACTAACCTCATTTTGGGCATGGTTTATGGCATTGGGTCCAGGTGGGAGAACTGCGTCCTTCAATGTACAGTAGGCCTCAAAAGCATGACTTACCCTAGGGTAAACCAACATCGAGGTTTACAGTTGGTATATCCTCTGGTTTATGAAGTCTAGTATATGAAGTCTATAAACCAACTTATGACTGGGGGGAGAGGGGCAACATGTTGTGGAGACAGGGTATGGGAAGTTTCTTGCAAATATTGCCAGTGCACCTGTGCTCTTCCGAGCCTCTTATTTTGACCTTGGCGGCCTCGTATGGGCCCAAACCCTAAAGATAGCAATTGAATCCCTGGATACTAGACCCACATGTCTGCCCGATACCACCGGACCTACAAATCTAACATGTTTTTCTTCCCCAGTGTCCCGTTAGATGGCCCCATGTCTGCAATGCCTCTATCTGTTTGGGGATCCCTGCGATTCGCCGGGCTTCAACCTGACAGGTGGCGAACGAGGTGACTACAGACCAGGGAAAATAACTTGGTGGTGATGAATTCATATCTTTCCCATCTGGTGTTCATAAGCAAATATGCATATATATATATATAATTATATATATATTATACCCAAATGCTTAAATATCATATTATATATATATATATATGTATGTATGTAACGATATATGGTTATATACTTGCACATTGTAAAAATGGTGAGTGTATAATGGTTTTGTTTATATCTATTTCAAGTCATGATTCATGTCCAACCAACGAGACACATCAACCAACGTCGCAGTGTAAGGAGACTCATCTGTGAGTTTCAGTACGTAGAAGGAATATTTTTGGAATCCGCCACCCTTCGGAATAAAGCTCTCACAAGGATGAAAACCGGATTCGTTTCCCCGGAAACACATGAAAACATAAGGTCATGACCGAAAAAACCTGCATATGTATATATATATATATTTGTATGTATATAAAAATATATGTATATATATATGTAAATATATAGATATTTGTATATATATATGTAAATATATATATATATTATATATATAAACATATATATATATGTAAGTATATATATATATGTATATATATGTATGAACTTATGTCGCCTTTCCTTTCTTAAAAGAAACATGGGAATACTAAGCACCACTAGTGATGCCTTACTGGATAGCTGGAAATGAATATCTACACCCTACGCGATATGAGTTTGTCCAAATTTGGGGTACACTCTTAACAGACAAAGCCCGTAGATAGCATCATATAACCAGACCGAAGGATCAGAAACAGGCCAAATCAACAAAGAATCTCCCATAATTTTCGACAATCCAGTTCAGGTGTCAATCACTTTACCTTTGAATCGTGTTCACTTAGAACCCTAAGACTTCAGCCTTTCTCAACAAACCTCACAGAATTGACACCCAGACACGTCTCGTGCCAATCAAACCAACAGGCATTGGCGTCCACTGCCGCCTGTCAACACGGCTGCAGCAGGAACTGTCTTTCTCAGTGACCTTTTGAGAATGATGAAGACCATCAACTTAGACAAATGGTCCTGATTTAGCTTCAAGTATAGCTGAGGCTTTAAGTATGGGGACCATTTAATACATTTCAATATCATTTATCTCTCCAAGGGGGATACTTCGAAATCAACCATAGAAAAAACAGCACGGAACATAATATGGAAACAGGTAGAAGCTGAGTGATTGTGCCACCTCCACGGCTGCATACCTGTATGCTGAGTGCAAGGGGAAAAAACCTGAACCTGTTGGATACACTCCAGAGATTTTTCTGAAAAACAAATGGGTTTCCAATCCAATGGGTTTCCGTCGTGTTTCGTGGAACTACCATTGTTTGTCCAATATGTTGCATTACAAGCCCCTGTTGCCTTTCTTTCAGTGGCCTCGGATCCCTATGAAATTAAAGGTCAATGACAAGTACAAAAACCTCCAAGACTGCTGTCGTTGCCTGAGGGACGTCCAATTTTAACAAAACACTGACTTTGACGGTGTAGATGTTTGATGATGTTTGGACACTTGCAGAATCAAGGTGCATCAAGTGTGATGATCTTTGACCTAGTATGTTTTATTTTCCTGCGCACATAATGCATGTGCTCACATTCGCGCATGTTCTGCACACTAAAAATGATACAACATACAGGTGCTTGGACAATGATCCCAAATCCCAAGTCCGAACTGGTGTGTAAACCAAATATCAACCTAACCTATGACAGACATATCAGAAGGTTGGTTGAATAGAAAAATGTTCTATACATATGCATCTAGCTGGATATATTGATATATATTTGTGTAATATTCATATTTATATTTATGTGTATACTGTATATGCATTTACATAAGCATATATATATATTTATATAAATATATATATATGTACATATATGATCATATATGTATGTATATATATATGTGAAATTAGTCAATATGTTGTGATGTATATCTAAAACATGTTCTTACATTCTTACAAATGCAGTGACCATCCAATAAACAAAACTGCAAATAGATCTATGTTTAATCAAAAAAATGTACTTTTTGACGTAAATATGTGTAAAATAAACAAGTACATTTATATCTATGTTGAAACACGCATATATATATATGCATATATACATATACAAAAATATCGTGGATATGTACACATGTACATGCACACATGTACGGTATAATATAGAAATGTAAGTGTACAGTGATACAACGTACCCCAGATCAGCTGGGTCTAGATCAGAAGTTTTCCCAACCCCCATGCGCATAAATAAATTCAAAATAATTGAAAAACATGTTTTGCATATTTTTGCATTTTACATATCCCATTAAAACAGCATGTTCATATCATGTTTTTTTGCATTTATCCCACTTTTGACTCAGCTGATTGCAGTTTTGAATGGTGCAAAGAGACTAGCTGGCTGATGTCTGATCAATCTGCGAGTGACATATGAATGACTTGTTTTTCTTGGTCAAACTCAAGGCAACATGAGAACGACGGGTGAAGGCAATGGGAAATATATAGACAGACCGAAACCCTGAGAGGCAAATGCCTGCAGCAGCACCTCACACAATTTTTGCAGAATCTGCAACACATAAAATCACATTTTTGTTTACATTGTATCATCAATTTTGAAATGCGTTGTTTTGTTTTGATAATTTTCGAGATTTTTTGAACTGTTTTTTTTGTTAACTATTTATTGTTTCCATTACCTTTTTTGAGAATGTTTGAGATCGATTATTTGTTATAGTGATAGGTTTTTGATGTTATCAACGCAAAAAAAAATGCATTTTTTGGACGCATGTATTGACGTATATTATACAATGACTATGTGTTTTTACTTGTGGAACATAATCCTTGGTTTTCTTCGTTTTTCATGTTTTTTTGTTCATGTTCTTCATTTTTCCTCTTTTTGAGTATGTTGATTTTCGTATTTTTGTTTTGTTCGCTTTTGTTTGTCTTTATCATGTTTGTGTTGATTAGAGATGCGATTCCGATACAAACCCCTCCGATTCTTGGTATTGCAACAATTTTGTAAATGCATACATTTATATTACATATAATATATCTATATATATATCTAGTTTTTTATTTATTTATTTATGTATGTATTATACTATTCATATACATATATATATATATATTTATTTGTTTATTTATTATAATACTCATATATATATATTTATTTATTTAGATGCGCTAATATATATGCAAATAAAAAAGGAAAATATGAAATCTTTTAAACTTGTGCATTTGCATCTGTTTGCGTACACACCGTAATGTACATGTGTATTTTCTTACATGTGCAAAAATCAATGTCACATAAACATATATATTTACTTAAATGCATATATAAATGAAATAAATAGATGGATGTGTTTGGACATAATTTTCTAAGTATACATTTCAAAGCTCTGCGCTGCGCATTTCTACTACAACCAATCTACTCGCCAGGCAGGCAATCACCAGCTGAACCTTCATCTGCCGTAAGAGGTAGAGCGGCGTGCTCTTCAGGAAATTGTACAGGTCCATGCCTCCGGAGCTTGGCTTTTGTTTATGGTGATTTCTTCGGGATGTTTCAAGTTTAGGGTTGGCTCAAAGATCTTCAAGGCTCTTTTAAAACAGCTTGTTGATTGTTTAAAAAAGTTTCAAGTTATCTTAAAAATATGGGTTAGGTTTGGTTCAGGCTTTGTTTTCAGGTGTTTGTTTAAAGTCGGTTCAAGTTTTGGCTGTTCAATTACGGGCGGCTCATAGTTATCCAGGGTGGGTTTTTCGTTGAGGTTGGTTTAGGCTTGCTGGCTTGCTTGTTTGGTGGCATGCTTTTTTGGCTTGCTTGATTGCTAGCTTGCTTGCTGGCTTCCTTGCTCACTTGCTTGATGGCTTCCTTCCTTGCTCACTTGCTTGCTGGCTTGCTTTGAAAACCCGTCAAATAGGGTGCTCCATCCGGGCCCGAGGTGAACAACCTTCAACCTTTGCCCCAAAAAAGCGGGTTCCCATTGCTGTTTTGTGTTGCCGGCCCAGAAATAGTCAGAGTGTTGAGACGGGCGGTTTGCAGGAAACTTGATTTTCCTTCGCAGCCGCTTGCCTCCAACAAAGCGTCACGATTTGGAAAGTTCTGGCAAAGGTCGCTGCGGGCTACCTTTCAAAGTTGTCGGCCAAAAACTCTTCTAAAAGGTGGAGATGGTTGACACGTCAGCACCGTCGAAACCGGACACCTCAAGCTACTTCGGTGGCCTCAACGACGTCATATGAGACACGGCAGCCGGTTCGTTTTTCGTCACGGGTAGTGCACTTTCGCCATAAAGAGGAACTTGGTCGACCATCTACGGCGATTGAGTGCGTAAAACCTGGGATTGGCTCATCCAAGACAAGTTTTCAAGGGGGGCTAAGATTGCCAAGCAGAAACCTACCAAATTGCTGATCAAAGAAAAACTCAAGCTTGCAGGGTCCTCTGATTTTTGTTCTTTACAGGCAATATCGCTGAGGCGGAAATACAATATTCCAGAAAAAATCATGTCATCCGAAAGATACGGGTCAATCAACATTCATGTCACTTTGTAAATGTGCAAATTAAAGGTAAGCTGATGTCAATGATTGGAGACATTGGAAGAACCAGTTTCTGCTAAAGGCGTGGGAGAGCAAACCCGTATTACAACTGGTGGCGCTGAGGGATGGCAAGCGATCAAGGCTCATGCTTTGTGAATATATGGCTAAAAATGAACCCATGAACGCCATGAACCCAGAAGTTCTATATTATCAGTGAGGCATTATATATATATAAGTATACCTAATAAGTATACCTATATATATATATAAGTATACCTATATATATATATATATATGCATATATATATATAATTATATATACGCAAGACCGAAATGACCCTTTTTCTGCACGGATGAAACACCAGGCCAATTGGATATAAAGGACAGCGTGGCAAATGGGACCCATTGGGTACTTGAAGGTGCAGTTCCAGCTATAAGCGGATATATAACCATAGTTATGGGCTTATATCCGGACTTCTGCTGGCTATTGACATGGTAATACCTATGAATAATCCCAACCGCACCCCAAAGTATGGGTCAAAACTGCCAACAAAAATCATCATTTCCTCGCAAGGAACCTCAAGATTTTGGGTCGGTTGAAGCCACGTTGTGAAGGGGTGTCCTCCAAGTTGCCTGGTTGGTGGTTTCAACCCCTCTGAAAAATATGCTCGTCAGTTGGGATGATGACATTCCCATATATGAAATGGAAAATAATCCAAATGTTTGAAACCACCAAGCAGTATATAACCATCATATTCCCATTGTTGTTGGTTTATACCCTATTTTTAACCACTATTAACCAAGTTGTGTTTGGTTTTTCTTCCACATGTTCTTTTGAAACCACCAACCAGATATGATACGTTCCATGTATAGATGGTTTACCCTCTGGTGAACTAACATAGCAATGGAAAATGGCTATTTATAGTGGATTTTACCATCAAAAATGGTTATTTTCCATTGCTATGTTAGTTCACCAGAGGGTACCTATTAAAAATGGTGATTTTCTATAGCTTCCACATGATTTCAATTTGCTTTGGATCTCCATCGCTTAGTTGATCTCTGATGGCAAGATCCCCATCTCTGCATCTCTGACCATCTGCTGGGCATCGGGCGCATCTATTTGGCAATGGTTACCCGGCCTGGTAAACTAACGTAACGAACTGGAAAATCACCATTTTTAATGGGTAAATCCACTATTTCAATGGCCATTTTCAATAGCTTTTTGTATGTTTACCAAGCCGGGTATATTAGATTTATGTCTGCAAAGCAAGGCAAGGGAAAAAATGACAATTTGTGTCCCTCTGAAGCCTCATTTTCCAAGACCGTTAGAGAAGGCTCTGGCAGCTTCTTCATGGGCTACATCCCAATTACTAGAGTTGATCACCAACATATTTCTCTGGTATATCCCGTCATCTTCATTTGACTAACATGTTTATTGAGGACTTACAGTAGCCATCGTTGAAAGTCGATTTCAAAAAAATAACCCTCCGGTAGTCAGTCAACCCTGGCAGTGATAAAATCCACTATATATATATCCATATTATATATAACTATATATATATATGTGATCTTCCCAGCTAGAAACCTCTATTTAGTTCATGGATTTCCCAGCGAGGAAGCTGATGAAACTGATGAAACCGGAGGTCAAGCACCGTTGCACCCGTGAAATGCCGCTTTCAACGCTTTCAAGGTCCGGGCTCACGTCGGTCATGGGCCACTTGATGGAAAAGCTTGGCCAGTCCAGGGTGTTTTCCTCGGATGCGGAAAAGAAGCGGTGAATCGAAGAACGAAAATTGCCATGTATCTGCTCTTTTTGTAATATATTGTACATATATATATATATCATATATATCATATATTATTATTATTATTTTATTATTATTAATCTATAAACACATGTGTATATTATATATATATATTGGGATGTATCGGGAGACATTTGCATATACCCAGAATGATCCAAACGCCAGAAAGGCCACCTGATTCATCCCGATGCATAGCTATGCGACTTTTAGGCCCCTCAGCGATAGCCAAGTTGGTGCGTTTTTAGCATGTTATAACTCCAAGTTCACTATGGTTTATGATAAATGTATACCATTGGATCCTTTCCACATCTCATCAGAGCATCGCACATTCGTTGTGCTCTGATCCGAAGATGGGTTATATCATAATATATCATATTACGTACCACCAAGGTAGAAGATCTTCAAACAGAAGTGGAATTACTGTGAATTATATACTGATATATATATATAGCTTCTATATTTTTTTTGGCATGTAACTATCCATCTAATATCATGCCAAAAAAAATATGGATAGTTACATGCCAAAAAAAAAATAAGCTATATATATATATCAGTATATAATTCACAGTAATTCCACTTCTGTTTGAAGATCTTCTACCTTGGTGGTACGTAACATGATATATTATGATATAACCCATCTTCGGATCAGAGCACAACGAATGTGCGATGCTCTGACGAGATGTGGAAAGGATCCAGCACATTGAAAATCACATAGGATTCCAATGGACCTTACCTGGTTGGTGGTTGAGCCTATCCCTCTGAAAAAATATGACTTCGTCAGTTGGGATGATGACATTCCCAATATATGGAAAAATAAAATTCATGTTCCAAGCCACCAACCAGTTACAAATATGTACAATATGCAATGATATATGTCATGTAGCCAGGTACTGTAGTAAATCCGTGTGTTTTTGGGGTAATCCACCACCCATCACCAACCTAAGAACTAAGAATCTAATAGTCATCGTCTTGACCTTTTAGACAAATCCAAACTGGACACATATTTCAGCTCTGTCCAAGCATCAAACGGCACCTGAAATCCATCGCTGAGGATCACAGGGATACCTTCGAAAAAGCCGCGAAAAGCTGGAAAAAATGGTGGATTCATCGCCATCAGTGGAAAAACATCGAATCAGATCCACAACGGTTGGCTACACAGAAAAACGTAGCTGGTTTTTTTCGGGGTCTCTAATAGCTTTTAAATGCTTTTATATAACCCATCCCCAAAAAGGTAGAACAAATCATGTTTGATTGGATCTGAATCGGAATGGAACCTGTTTTTGGCCTTGTTGCCAAAGGCAACATGGCAACGAATGGCTTGGATGGAGCGTCTCAAAATTCGTATCGGCAGAGAAGTCGCCATTGATAGTAAAAAAAGGCAAAACAATGCAAAACATGTATTCCTGTTAGTGAAAACAAACCCCATTTCACCAGCTAGCACCCGAATTTCATAGCCATCATCGATCAAGTACATCAGTTCATACTTCCAAAATCTTCCATATTTCTAAGGACCTAAAAAAGCAAACCAATCCCACTTTTTTTTTCCAACCCGACACAGCCGTTTCTGTGCCCCCTAGGGTGCTTGGATGCGACAAGAAACACCCTGCAAAGAAGGCTTCATAGAGATGGTTGGTCCATGACCTGGGGCGTACTGATCGCCATCAAGTGGGCCCCACGTTTATCGGATCCGTGGTTTGAATTTTAACCATATATATATATATATAACCCAGATTTAATCCATTGAAAAATCCTATACATATATATATATAATTATATATATATATACATATAAGTGGGAATCCACATGTCTAATCCACATATTTCATCCCTTGTAGTGGGAATATTCAGAATCTTCCATTAATCTAACTGCTGCAACCATGTGTAACCATGTGGAACCCATTTACTCAGTGGGATGCACCGCCAACATTGACCAACACTATCGAAAAAAATGTGAGGCGGTTTTCTGCGCCAAAATCTCACCAACATGGTACAAGTTGGTTTACAACTACAACTACCGTAAAACATCGTATAACATCGTATAACTATGTATATACACCTAATGCATCTGGTATAGGTACTGGGCCACTGGGGAGTTGAAACCAACACAGATTTTACCGGACACTGCTCTACGGATTTGGCCTGGGCCACCGCACGAGGTTCCCATGGGCACCAAGCAGAAGTGTGAGGCTCCCATGCCTGTCCCGAATTTCACGCTGGTTGATGAGGAAAAATGGTTTCATCCCCCTTCACAACATAGCTACGTTCAGTGCCCCAGAAAAAGTTCAAGAAGTTTGTTTATTTCACCAGAGTTTACGGAAGATATATCGAACTAATGGGGGTTAACAGATCAATATTACCCTCTGGTAAACGTTTACATAACTATGGAAAATCACATAAAATCACATGTTTTTAATATTTTTTATGGGTAAATCCACCATTTCAATGGCCATCAATAGCTAACTTTGTATGGTATTACCAGGCCGGGTACCTGGAGGGACACCACTTTACCAGGCCATGGTCAAGTTACATTCACGGCCGGGTCTCATGGATGGTCATCCCCATGTGGGCAATTTACATCCTGGCAAACAATGGTGGCCTCAAAAACGGGTCAGGAAAGGTACAGAAAATCATAAAAAAATCAAACTAGGCGACAAGTTTACGATGATAATGATATAATGATATAATGATATAATGATGATATATATGTTGGAAAATCAGGTGCATAAAAAAAAACAATCATGATACAATGATATATAAAACATTGTAATCATATTAAATAATGATATTTCATGATAGAATCAAATTAAACCTGTGCATCAAAAATCATGATATAATGATATCTAATGTGTTTCTCCAACAAGTCTCAACAGAAATTACCAGGTATATGGGTTTGTCAGGTTCCCTTAAATCTACTTGTTTATCATCGTTTCTCAAAAGCTTGAAATGGCAATTTTCCAATATTTTGCGTGTACCCCATTTGTAGACACACCCAAATTGGATATAGTCGGTTGTACATCCCAATCCATCACCATTTAATATCCCATGAATTTCGAATGTTCAATGGCTAATTAAATTGTTAAACCCTCATGTTCATCCATGTTCAGCTATACACAATATTCATATATGGAGGTTTCCTAAAATACATATACCCCAAATCATCCATGTTACTAGGATTTTCCATTATAAACCATCCATTTTGGGGATCCCCAATTTTAAGACACCTCCCATATTGAAAATTCATGTAACAGTGGCCCCCGGCAACAGTGCCACAGCCGCCACGGCACGTTCGAAGTAGTCGTCCGTGAAACCGCCCACGCTGACGCCTTCCAAGCCATCAAAGACCTCGCGTTTTCCCCGCCGGTGACCTTCGAAGGATGCTAAGACCGTCGTAAGACCTGTAAGGCCTGTACGACCTGTCACAAAACACTGGGCCCTAAATTTAGGGCCCTAAAGGTGGGGAGGCTTACCGCACTGCGGGGGGTGGTTCTATGCCGATAGATGCGTTCGCTCCGATTTTAATGAAATCGCCAAGCATCTGCCATGGTCAATGGGGATGTCAACAATCCCCAATCATCCACCATCTGCTTATCCCACGATATTATCCCCAAATATCAAACTACAGTAAACAGGGATAATATAGTGGGGTAATATAGTGGGATATATGTATATATATACACATAATATATATATATATATCCATTATCCCACAATATTTATTTTATATCTATTTATGTTTATTCCATCATGTTCAATCAATAGGAAACTCTCATGATGAGTGCCTTTTTTTGTGTCTATGAAACAAAAATGTGTCATAAAAAAAAAAAAAACATCATCATTATATCATTTTTATCTATGTCTATCAAACAATAGGAATCTGCGTATCTGCCAGGAAACTCTCATGATGTTGCCACGCACGAAATTCTTCTTGTACAAATCATTGAGCCCCGGATGACGACCTGTGGCGAGCCATCCGACCTGGACGCTAAAAATTGGATTGCCATATTATGCAATCACCATTTTTAATATGTGTATAAATATATTATATATACAGACACATTTAAATAATGTATATATCTATATATTATAGATACAAATATGATGATACCTCCAACGCACATGTATATGACCCTCCATTCATGTCGGGGAAAAAACGCAAGGAGTGTGCAGATGCAGATGGTTGTGAAGGCATTTTGGAGATGGCGGCCCCCGGTTTAAGGTTTAAAATTCAACCCGTCATGTTCGTGTATCATACATGATCATGCTACATATTCATCCATTCATTCAGAACAAATCATGGTCAATCTTTGGTAGTCCACGACAAATTAATATGTTGCTGGTTATGGTTATTTTGTGTTATTTTCCATTTGTAGCAAAAAACTAAAGGATTAAAGTACCTATCCAAGGTGACAGATGAAATGAACATCCCAAATTGTCAATGGTTCTATCCTGGTTTTGGTTTCACCAAGACCATCTCATATCTCTGAAGACGTTCCATTGTTGTAGCCCAATATTCCCCTTGTATAATCATACCCCGCCGCTCTGTATATGTAAATATATATATATATAACAAATACATGTTTTGAAAACAAAAAAACAACACCTAAAACACCATTTGACCAACATTTTGACCTAATGCAGGTATTGGGATGGACCACTGTAACTATAACATCTATAACCGTTGATAGTTTACCAACCGTGGGACATAAACCAGTTTTGGGGTGATTCATCTTATTTCCCCTTCCTACTCATCATCTTTGGTCGTGTTGGCCAGTAACGTTATTTGTTTTTTTTTTTAAGGGTCGCACCGCAACTGCAATCCATCCTTTTTGCCTGATTAAATCACACACATTTGGTTGACTTCTTACTTTCGTTGAAGAAATCCCAAATCTCAATTGGATGAGTCCAAATTTCAATGTTTACCTCCTTGTCCGTAAGTCCCTAAATAATCTTACCTCCGTTTGCGACCAAAATCTGTCTGATCCACCAAGATACCGTGGAAATTAAAGAGCAATGTGCGCTGCTCCGTTGGCAAATTGAACTGCGCCATGCGGCGGTATCTAAAGTAATCCTGAGTGTTGAAAAAACCGACGACGTGAACCTCCAGTGGAGGTTCAACTCCGAATTTTTAGACAGACCATAATGGGATGTACCCCACTTAATTGTGACAGTTTAAAAGCATTGCATATATGATATGATATGATATGATATGATATGGTATGGTTTGATATGATATGATATGACATGATATGATGCGCTATAAAATGCTATAACATGCAAAAATATAATATGCCATGACATGATAAGTTACTATATGATATGTTTTAATATGATACAATAAAATATGATTTGATATGGTTTATGTAATATAAAATAATATTGTATAAATTCATATGATATGATTCGAGGTGATATGATATGACATACATTGACATACCCACTTTCTTACTGTCGCAATGACCCAGGGAACATCCACTTCCACTGGAATGCTGGCTTGGCACCGTATGGCCGGGAACCACAAAGTCCTGACGAGGGGCTGGCACATCGCTGAAAGTTGGGGGTCGGTGCGTAGAATGCTTGCTTTAAGTGTGTTACCCTCTGGTAAACTTTTACATAACTATGGACAATCCCGATGTTTAATAGCTAGATTAACTATAATATGATTAATATGGCCATGTTCAATAGCTATGTTAAATTATCATCATGGAAACATCACGGATAATCCAATCATGGGTAAATCAACTCTTTCTATCCCCATGTTCAACAGCTTTTTCTATGTTTACCAGGCCGGCTATCCTATTGGTAACTGGGTCATGGGTGACCTAAAGTAGCCCAGTTCACCAGGACCGTCATAACTCCTGATCATCCAGGTGGACACTGGACACAAAATCTCTGCGAATCATCGAAAGTCTATGAATGGAACATTTACCCTCTGGTAAACATACAAAAAACTATGGTGACTTGGGGATCTTGGGAATCCTCCATTTTAAGACTTCCCCATTTCAGTATCCATTTCTAGGAACTACCCTCTGGTAAACGTTTCAATAACGAACTGGAAAATCAACATGCTATCAATGGGTAAATTCACTATTTCGACTGGGCCATGGCTTCACTAGCTATGTAACAAATTACCAGAGGGTAGAAACAAATCAAACTGGCAATCTCAGGATGACAATAAAATGGAATCAAATCTGGGAAAATGATAGTCATTCGCTAACCAGCAAGGCTATATTGGGCTTCTTCTCCGTACTAACCATCATTCCATTGACGTCATAGTGAGGTCACTATAACTCAACCAGAATCAAATGGATACAGAACATTAGAACTACGGATTCTCTTTTGGGTCCACCCAATTCAAGAAACAGTACGTTCTTCGGACTCTGAAGAACTCATGTGATGTTGGCTGTTGCGGAACTTACATGAAGGGCCCAGTTGTAAATTGCTTTGTATCCTATCCGACTGTGAGTCAAAAAACACCATAAATTCCATCAATCCAACAGTTCGGATTGGATTTGCGATCTAGAAACCCCCAAGGTAATGTGATCGCAAATCCTCAATGTGATCACCATTATTCAGGTAGCCTCTGGTAAACTAACATTGTATATGGAAGCCATGCCCCATAGAAATAGATGGGTTTACCGTTCTTAAAAATGGTGATTCTCTAGTTCGCTATGTAACAGTCATTACCAGAGGGTAAAATCCATTAATATCCCATTATTCACCATTAAGTCACCATTAAATCACCATTAAATCACCATTAATGGATTCCCCATACTGACTGTGGATGTCCTGTTGGAAAAAAATAACCATCATATCGACTCCGAAAATCCAAAATCACGTGTCACTACCTTTTGAATCCCACGAGATTCCCTTAAGACATCCCAACAATAACACCATCAAATAACTGGTTGGTGGTTGTACCTACCCCTCTGAAAAATGATGGAGTGAGTTCGTCAGTTGGGATGATGACATTCCATTCCCACCTGTTTCTGGAAAGTCAGTCAAAATTCCATGGTTCCAGTCACCACCAAGCAAATAAGTAAATCCCATTAAAGCCCAATAAAATCATCATCTTCACCAGAAATCCAGTTAGACATTTCCAACCGAAGCCGTTCTCTCGAAGCAACGCTAAGGCCCCTTTTTTCTTTCAGGTCCCGTCCTTCCATGGGTTGAAGCAACTGGGACCGCATTTCCTTGGCAAAACCAACTTGGGGAACTTGGGGATCCTCGTTGGAAACATTGCCATTGCCAGAGTGGTTTACAAGGCATCATCATCCTCTAGGAGAGTGATATCACTGAGGCCAGTGAACATAAAAAAAAATGTTCTTGGCGCTGTTGGATAAACAAATTGTAGGAAACCAAGATGCCTTCAGCAAACCAAGATGAATATCTATGTCATCGGATTCTATCATCGATCTATCAACTCATTAAATCCATAATCTATCATCTCCATAATCGGTGCACAGGTACTACCGGAGGGATTACCGGACAACTGAACATGCTGTAACTGACGACAATTCAATCCTGTAAACGTCAAAGAATCCCATGTTGTCGTATAGTGAATTTAAATTGACTCTTATAGATGCTGTTTGATTTGGGGTCTATTCAAGTATCAACTAATCCCAGTACATAATCAGATCATGTTCAATCATATTCAGATTTACCCTCTGGTAATTTAACACAGCTATTGAAAATGGCCATAGAAATAGTGGATTTTCCCATCAAAAATGGTGATTTTCCATAGTTTTTTGTATGTTTACCAGAGGGTATATAGTGTGTTGATATCCACTCAGCGCGATAGGATCATCCACGTCTTGACCCAAGTGGACCAAGTGTCGGAGTGAGAGCCTCTGTCACGATGAACAAAGACTTGGGGATGTAGTCTCGCCATTCCTCACTCGAAAAATTTTTATGTCAATATATGTCAATCGCCCTAGAGAAATAGGAAGTCATAACCAAACAGTTAACGGTATATCATACTACTCGAAAAATGATGGAAAAATCGCCCTAGAGAAATAGATAGAAATAGGAAGTCATATTTCAAACAGTTTTCACGGTGTCACATTCTGTAACCAGATATATGTAATACTTGGGGTCGCTGTCATGAAAAGTGGCCCGCTGAGAAGCGCACATCATGGGCTGCTGGATCATCTCAAGAGTGAATTTCTGCTTGACGCTTGACTCGTGATTTATAGCAATTTAAGGAGAGCACTTGGGGGTGCAGGTCCACTTCATCGGCGCTGATATATGGCCATAATACGCCATAATTCCATAGGTCATGTTCCAACTTATGAGGGTTATTACCATAATTACTGTATTCCTATCAAGATGTAGCCATCTTCAAAAAACAACCAACTGGGGAAGGGTGGGACCCACCACCAAGTTGGATTAAATTGATACACCCCCAATCTATTTATGAGAGGGTTCCCAAAATAGTAATGTTTTCATTATGATGGTACTTCCCTGAGTTAGTAAAGCAGGGGTTTATTAGTCCGGGGTTGATATTACAGAATGTTGGATAGGTTGATGAAACATGTTAGGAAGGGGGGGCATGGGCCATGCGGCATGGGGAGCCTTTATTGTTGGCTTCCTCCAAAATAAAGTAATATTGAAAAATTGAGACCACAAACTATCCTCAATTTTACCAGCAATGGGTGGGTATGTGTCCTCTCCTCAACATTTTGGATTTGCATGGATCTTGAACCGCATTAGCATTGTGCCTTAAACTCCCATGGTTTATCATGGTGCATCATCATTTTCCCTCTAAACATTGGACACACCCAAAGGTGCGTACATCACGGATCGCAACTGATAAGCAATGAATCTCCGTGAACGTCCCATACATCACTGGGTTTTAACCAGGGTTTGGAACGATCTCAAGCTCATGTTCGTCTAGAATGTAGGAACATCATCCAAAATTACGAAATGCCACCAGGTCCGAAAGGGAAAAACCATCTTTGCATATAGTTACTGTTTCTAGTAGTTGGATGGGGATATTTTATCTGGTAGGTGGGGGCCCATCATTGTATGGCAGAAGAAAGGTTGAGTACAAACCAAGCGGCTTTGTGTTTGGCTGGGCAACGGTTCTACAAGTATAGCAACCCCCAAAGAGATTGAAAAGTCTTTGCAGCACGTTAGAAATGAGCGATAAAGTCGTTTATAGTCGTTTACCTCTTGAAAAAATCCAGATTTCTAGTTTTTTCCGAGTTTTTCCATGTTTTTTCCATGGTTTTTCCACGTTTGTTTTACCATTTTCCAAATTTTGCGGATGTTCTTTTTGCGGGCTCCTCGCGCCGAGGTCCGAGGTCATCCGAGGTCCGTGAAAGTTCGAAAAGGTGACGATACCTGGTAACCCCATGAATACTATAGTTATAAGTACCATAAATAGCTACCTTCTGGTTATTTAACAGGGATTTATGGTGGTTTAATGGGATTTAATGAGATTTAATAGGATGTACCCTCTGGTTATTTAACGTAGCCATAGAAAATCATCAAAAAGTTAATAGGTAAACCATCTGTAAATGGGCAATTTTCCATGGCTATGTTAAATAACCAAATGCTATATGGATTGGAGGTATGGGTTACTTAGCTATAGTTGGATACTATAGTTGGATACCATAGTTGGATACTATAGTCATATATGGTTATTGGAGTTATGTTCACCAACTTAGCTATCGTAAACGGGGGCCCAATCTGGCATTCCTGTGCTCATTAATCGACATGAATTGACAAACGGCTTGTTTTCAACCAAATCGACTTAGCTCGTCACTTCAAATGTTGAATCAATTTGGCCTGCTGTTTTCAATCACGTTGACCGTGCCTTTGGTGGTTGTATCACAAAAATGATAAATTTAATAATAAAATCTGTAGGTCAAATTGCAACGTCTGGTTTCTCCATCCTTGGGCTGGGTCGTATTCCCTACCGCCACGACATGGAAGCTCCCGATGCAAGCTGGGAACCGGGAAGAAGTTCATCCCTTGATCGGAGAAGATAAACCTGAGCTGCTGTCAGTTCGATGTCAAACAGACCTAGCAATAGGGCTTCCCAGGAATGTATGATGTATGTATATATATATATTATATATATATATATATTCATATATATATAAATATGAATATATTCACATATGATATTCACCGATATTTGGGTAATCTTCGTGGAAACGTTGACGCAGACAGTCGGAGCATTCGAGGCATGGGATGACCTCAAGAATCTCGCTTCCTTGTGCTGCGAGGGTTTTTTCCATGCTCGGTGGAAGCTCCAACTATAGAACAAGTAGTGTAAGGGAAGTGAAATTGGATAATTCACTATAGAAACTATAAAATGGAAACGTAGAATACCATTATTCGAAAAGGAAACGTAGGTAACCATATTCACTAGAATAATTCCCTTACACAACGTAGAACCATATTCTAAGGAAACATAAGAAAACTCCTACTGCGTTGTAAACTCAAACCGTCTACGTTGTGTTTGATGTACCCCCAAACGGTTACATCTGAGTGATCCCATGGAAGCAGATCAAAGAGAGCAGAGTGAGAGCATACAAATGTTGTAGTCACACCAAACAGACTCATCCTTGTTCAATCAAAATGTCATCATGTTGTTGTGCAACATCAACGGGCAAAACCCACTGATCAAAGAGCTGACCATTTTCCTTGCGGTGCAACTAGAAGAGGCGATACAAGTGTAAGTAAAACCATCATGAAAGTACAAGTCAGATCCTCTGACAAATGGGGATCTTGAGATTCATTTCCCACTTGAGGATGCAGTTGAGGCCATAACTGAGCATGGCAATGGTACCAAACTTACCAAACCCCACGTGATATAACCTCTATAACTATAGTGAAATATATCCGCGTATGACCCCCAACTGCAGCCCCAAGTACTGTTTCAGGGCTAGCCCCATTTTGCTGGTTGATGTCTCATTGGTGAGATCATCTTGGATCCCTTGAGATCCGTCGCTTGAAGCTCCCGTTAAGGACAAACCAAGTACTACTTCAGTGGGAGATCTTCAGGATCCTGAAATGGAGGTACTGTACCATTTTTCAGGCCATATTTTGTGGGGATATCCCCTTAGCCCTGAAAAATAGGCCTTATATATGGAAGGTACCTCCAATGAATCGGTTCCTGAAATGACCACTGACTACTTGGGATTCCATGTGATTTCTCCAAGCTACACATGGTCGTGGCCATCATTCTTCGTCCAGTGGGGTAGCAGCTCGTGCCTGTCGCGCTGGGGAAACCACCATCATTGATGTCTGGTTCTTCGGTGTTCCAGCTAGGTATACATAAACAATAAATATGTGTGTATATATATATATATTATTGTTTATATAATACGTACATATATTCTATTGTTATGTATATTTGATGCTTATTATATATATATATACACACCCCCGGGAACAAACGTGTCTCGGGCTACCGTTTCAGGTATCAACCAACATGTCCACTCTGTACCGGCGTTTTCCTGGGGAATGCATTGCAACTTTTTTTGGGACCATTGACCCAAAAACAGCTAACATGTCTCAGTTCCTGCAATTGGGGCCCTTGGATTTCGACCCTGATCTGGAATATGTTCGCTATTTTGGGGGGATAGATTCAGCCAATAACCGCTCACATATCTCAAAACCACATCCTCTGAACAACACGGACACGTTAGGTGGACGCTTTCCATGGCCAGTCATCCAACCCTTAGTAAATGCAACTGGTTTTTGGAATGCACCCCCAATCTTCCTGCCCACCCACGAGCATCATCTATGATGCGCTCTTCCGGAAGGAGTTGGGACCCCTTTTTTCTCCACCGTTTTGTTATCAATGCGGTCTTTGATTTGAGCCCTATTGGGGTCTGGAAATAAAGATGCTGGGGCGTCCGGGGCGGTAGTCTTCTGGCAGTTTCCCGGGAACCCCCAGAGGGGGGGACAACTTTTCCACTAACATACCCACTCTGGATTTTCAACTAACATGTCTCAAGTATAGGGCATTTATCATAGCCTATGTTCACAGCAGCTAACGCATCCAAAAAAAAAACACAAAAAAAGTGGATACATTTGTTCCCTAGAGAGTATACACATTTGTATACATATATTGATATATTAACATCATATATTGTTAGTATGATATACACCTACATCACAGATCAAAAAATAAGTTATCTTTGCCTCATCATTTCTGGTGAGGTCAGTGAGATCGTCGTTAAAGAAACTTGCCCCTTTTTTATCCCTAGATGAACTTGGAGTACCTCGGTACTCTATATAAATCATGTTTGGGCTATTATTAGCTGATATTAGCTGTTTTGGGAGGTGATTTTCCATATTTACATTAACAGTCATTAACGACCCAGCAAAATTGGGATCAAACCAACAAATTGGAGTATCTACGCTGGATTTATGCAGGAATAGTGGGCTATTTCATGTAGAAAAGTTGCTTAAAACAGCAGTTGGCGAGAGTGAAAGCTACCGGCCCCCGAAACCCAAACCCTTGGTTGATTCATGTCATGACAATTCTATGTCCGTTCAGACATCCATTGCATCATATTACATCTGGAAATTGTTGACCTAGACTAACTAGACCCTCAAAGTATAAAGAACACTAGGTAAGAGTCCCAAATTGATTCCATAGCGAAGATATGGGTCCATATATATATATATATACTTGGATTTGCTTAAGGGGCTCCAAAAAAGTATAGCAAAACAAGGCAACCGGTTGACTCGGCGCCCTTGTAAGGGTGACGAATTTGAAATTCTGATTTTTGAGGCTAAGAGACAAAATGCTGGTATTTGCAGGAGTCGTCAAAAAATGTTTGCAACATGGACATTCATTTCGATTGGCAGGCGTGTGACTCAAGAGTGAAAATTTGCGTTTCGCCTGCGCGGTGACTCGATTTTGCTCTTCAAGGATCAAAAAAAAACATTTAGAATTTTTTATGACTTTCAATCATCCGAATCATATCAGGGCGACATTCACTCTTCCAGTTTTTTCCTATTCTCGACGCTTGCGGTGACAGAGCGCTTGTGGCAACGCAGAAGCCACAGTCTGCAACAAGGCAGCGTTGTGACGCCATGTCCAGCTGTAGGCCCAAGTGTACCTTCTTTTGGACACGTTTTGTTTTTTTTGTGGAGCATCGACGGAGGTCGCCATTTTTCCAAGTGTTTCCATGTTCCATCCATGTGTTGAGTACCAGCAACAATGGTTCTATAGGATTTATCCCACAAACGACCTCGAAAATGATAAGTCTTAGTCTTAGTAAAGATATTTTGTTTGTGGTCGACTTGGGCCAACTTGAACCTTTTGTGGGGATAATCTTTGACACAACTGACAGCATGTGCAACGTTTGCATCTTCCGTAACGTAAAGGAAGTGCTCGTCAGGGACGTTAATACACCCCCCACCCCCCACCCCCACCCCCCCCTGATGATCATACGACAGCATGCGCAAATGCATGTTTAAAACTCCAAAAAACAACAAACCCTATACCCCCATTTCCGCAAGCCTCATGTTTGATCATTTTTGAAATTTGCAACCCTTCCAACGCATGCCCAAAAGAACCTGTAATCCATTCCCCAGTCATGGCGGATTTCCCATTGAGAACATTAAGCCAAAACACCGACGAAACAAACCCAGGTATATGGTTAAATCCCCTTAAATCCCAGAAAATCCCCATGTTTTCCGATAAATTTCCCATGTTTCCCATACCATATATACTTTGGAACCAACCCAATGCTGCTCAGGTCAACGACGTGTGCGTTTTTGCTACACATTCATAGTTGACTTTCCATCCTCTGTCTCTGGAGCCAGCTTCTGCATGTCTTTCACCGTCACAAAAGGCGCTTTTTTGGAAGCAGGGCACAGTCAAAATCCATGTGAAGGAGCCGGAGTTGCTCCTCAGCACGCTGCCCGTCCTGTCACATCCTGTCCTAGCACCGTAGCGCCCGGACACATTGTGGTCGCCCTCGGACGCGCAGCGCCTGGGCCGCCTATCGCGAATCTGCCATGAAGATCCATGTGTCAGTGTATATTGAAGCGATCATCGTTTCCGGGTTATCCTTCCACATCAGAATATATCAAATCTTGACACATTGATTGTGGCCCAGAAAGAGTTCGATGGTAAACACCTTTTTTCAAAATGGTGATTTTCCAGTTCGCCAACTGTAACAAATGATCATATCTCATTCTTATCCCATAAAATCTCAATTTTAATTGACAAATATTATCTGTCATTAGTTTTTGCTATGTTGTTGTCAGTTAATCCCATTCTGGATGGGAAAAAAAAACATGAAACCAATCAGCCGCTCCAAACCTCCGGTTGATCATGTCAATGTACACCGCTGAGACTTCCTCAGCCGATGCCACCGTGGGGCCGCGTGGCATCCCACTTAGTCAATGGCTATCCCCAGTTACATCTGGAATATATGGATATGTATGGGAATATATGTGCCCAAATATGGGGAATAATGGTGATATATTGGGGAATAATATGTATTCCATAATGGGGATATATTCTTGGAATATCCCCACGTTTATTTTGTGATATGAGCCATGTTGGGCACAAGGTAAGTTTTTGGCACACTGATTTTTCTCTCAGGGTATTCCAAGGATTTTCGTGTCTTCAAAATCGTTGGGGCAATTCCATGAATTCTCTCATGTAGAATCGCATCCTTTCTCAAAGTGACGTCTACGTACATCTTACTCCCGATCCCACCCAATATTGCTTAACGTTTCTGGTTGGTGGTGCAATGTGCCCATCTTGAAAAATGATGGAGTTCGTCAATGGGAAGGATGACATCCCATATATGAAATGGAAGATAATAATGTTTTGAAACCACCAACCAGGTTTCAATGCGATCCGAGCCAACCTTTGAAGCCCACCACCGTGAATCAATCTCCGTGGTTCATCGAGTGGCGCGTCTCGTCTGGTTCATCTTGTAGACAATGCGATCACACCAGGTATGCCACGGCACCAAGAAAAAGTCTGCCTCCTGACGAGTATGTGTAAGTGGACTAACCCTATAAAAATAATGATAACTATAATTTTATAATAGTATATATATATAGGGATCGATACCCAGTTTTATACCCTCCAGTCACCAAACGTAGTAATTTCAACATCCCCCATTTATAGGTGATTGATGCTGATTGTCTCATTATAACCTCCATCTAATTCCTTGATTTCCCAGCTGGCCACGTTTGGTTACCAGAGGGTAACCAAAACTTGGTGGTAAACACTTTCAAGTTGAGTGCGCCGTGAATTCTGGTCGGTTTCCTGCAAGGGAGATATAACTATGGCAACTGTGGTGTTCATGGGGTGAAACTAAACCATAAAAAAAAATCGGCCTAAAAAGCAAGCCTTGGCTGTTTCCAACAAAGTACCCTGCTGTAAATGGTTAAGGGATCTCTTAGAGCACCGGATCACTTAGAACACCACGGGATCACTTAGAGCACCAAAAAACTGGATCACTTAGAGCACCAGAGAATGAGACCTTTATGGTTTGACTTGGGGACACAGGGCTGGGACATGGGGTGGGTTGAGGGGACCAGCATGGTGGAATGAGACCTTTAGGGTTTGACTTGGAGACACGGGGCTGGGACATGGGGTGGGTTGAGGGGACCAGCATGGTGGAATGAGACCTTTAGGGTTTGACTTGGGGACACGGGGCTGGGACACGGGGTGGGTTTAGGGGACCAGCATGGTGGATTGACTACATTAGAGCACCAGAGAATGAGACCTTTATGGTTTGACTTGGGGACACGGGGCTGGGACACGGGGTGGGTTTAGGGGACCAGCATGGTGGATTACATTAGACACGAGAGAATGACACCTTTTAGGCGTTTCACATCACTTTGAGGTCTAGAACGCCTGCAGAGACATAAGAATGGTCTTCTGACCACGAATTCTGACCAGAACCAGGTCCAGAACCATAAGAATGGCCTTTGAGGTCAACATGTCAATTCGATGGTTCGCCTCCTTGTACTCACAAAACTATCAGCAATGGGGGAAACATCAGTCCCATTCAGGCGTCCCGCGATTCCATCCAGGCCATGCTGACACGCATGCTCTATGTACATATGTCTGTGTATGCGTCCCTGTGTATATGTGCATGCATGGCACAATGCTTGCATGCATCCATGATCATCCATGCATGTATGTATGCATGTATGTATTGCGAATCGGGGATTGCCTTCCCGATTATATTCCAGTAATTGATGTTGATGTTTGTTGTTCCAGTGATGACTTCACAAAGACGACGGCTTCCGCATGGCGTTCCTTCTCTCTGTTGCTGCAGTGGGTCTTGAGCCAAAAGGGCGATTGTCACAACCCTTTGGCTTCGAGTCTTAGAGTGAATTATGTGATAATGTACATTGGTCCGTAGCATACACTCTATTCGCACCCCCCACGCATAGCCAACTTTGTTGGCTACGCGCAAAGTAGTGTCCCTCGAATTGATCCACTATATTTGCAGCTATTCATTTGTTGAATTATGGAGAGCTAAAGTCCGTTTCAGAACTTCATATCTACATGGCGGCTTGCTACAATCTCTACCAAAAGATAAAGGTTCTGTTCACGTGCATGTAGACACGACGTAGTCGGTGTCTAGCATTGAGGTTCATCCGATGTGGCGTAGTCAGCATGGAATCCCACTCAAGCAGGTGAATTACAAATAAAATCAAAACACAAAGTTGACTATGGAACTAGAAGTTTACCTTCCCGTCCCTTCGTCGGTTGAGACGTAGACCGCTGTAGAAACTCAGCGTTTCATGCAATGATGTTCAAAAAAATATGTGGTTCTAAATTAGCCGGCTCAGAGTCCTCTCAGAAATCATTCAAAATGAAGTAGAGGTAAATCTCGAGCAATGATTGCATCCTCGCATCGCCAGGTCCAATCGGGACCTATGCAGAGGTCAGATCGCTTAATCATCTATTTCCCCATCCATAGTATCCCTGATGGTTCCAGTCTCCGCCACGGTGTGAATAAGATTTTCCACCTTTTCCTTGGTCTTTTCCACCCTTCTTTGGCGGGGTCACTGGAGCTTGTTTTGGCGGAGGAGCGGTTTCAACTGTTCTCCATGTCGCTGACGATGATGCTTTCGCTTTCGACACTCTTCCCAGTGCTGGTGCAGCTTTCGGGGCTGCTTTCGATTTGCCAGCGGCTGGATTGGTACGTTCACGATCAGCAGGAGTCGGGGTATCAGCAATCGCAAGTATGTGAGCTTCAGACAAGTGGATGCCCCACCTTGGTCGTTGATCTTCCCGTTGCTTGATGTGATTGTAGTCATCGATCGCATCATATAGCTTTTGGAGTAGAGGTCGCGGCAATTGTCGGCCATTCTGAAGGATCAGGTGTAAAAGTGATATTCTTCGAAGTGGTGGACGAAGAGCACACACAATGTCAACTGGATTCAGTGTGATTGTGTCTTGAAAGTCAACGTTCCTGAAGAAATAAACAGCATTTACCCTATATGCACCTGCAATGATTCTTCTGACCATGACGTCTTGTCGGTCAAGGGCGTCGCGGGCCGCTGTGGTCTTTCTCATCTCATCCATTGTGGTGTCACGTTTCGACAGCTTCTCCATCTCCTCATCAAAGAATATGTTTTGCAAGTCATCATACGTGTAGCCACATTCAAGGGTATATATGAGAAGTCTTTTGAGTACCACTGCCCCATAGTATGCATTGACGAATCCCTCTTCTCCGATGTCGTCCTTTTGATTTGGTCGGCCGATCTCTTTGTAGAGCTCTTTCATCTGTTGTGCAGTTGGTTCAATGAGTTCACCATTTTCATCCTCGCCCAGGTAAGGTGTCCTTGAGTCCAGGTCCATCCTGAATTTCTGGTTCTGTTGAAAATGTTTCCATGCCGTCTCGATGTCTCCACAGAAGTTCCGTTGGAATAGTCTGTAGATCCTGACGATATGTAATCCAATCTGCAACAGGAGGATCTTGATGAATTCTGGCTGAGCATCTCCAATTGTGCAAGGTTCGATCGGCAGGACCTTTGATCCAAACTCAATCCGTTGCATCCACTTGGGGTACTCAATCACTGCGTCACGAGCTTCTCCAGCCTCGTACTCTTCAATGTTGATTTCATCGACCGCTATCTCTTCATCATCGTTCTCATCGGTCGGTTTTCCTTCTTGATTGAGAAATTTGTCGACCTCATCTTGTTCTCTGAAGTCTCTTTTCTCATCATTGATGTCGCCCTTCTTCGAGGCTTGGTCATCATCTCCTTCTTCTGGTTGAGTTTCTTGTTCTGGACTCTTCATGGTGACATCATCATCATCTGGCATCACCTCGTCGTCATCATCATCACCTGTCAAATCGATCTTCACCTCCTCCCATGCTTTCTTGACATGGTCTTTGAGATCTTCTTCTCGATGATGTGATTCGGCCTTTGGTGAGTGACTGCCAATAATGAAATTGCATCATTCCAATCCGGATGTCCAGGGAACAATCTGTGAGTATGACTGAAGTGACCGGTCCTGATATCGACAAGTTTTCGAAGTTCGTCTAGATCGGGTGATGATTCTTCAGGCACAATGTTTCCAATGAGCTTGTCAAATCGTTCAATGGTGGCCACCCTCTTCGCGCCTTGCACAGAAAGAACAAGTTGATCTCTTCCCTTCGTGATCATGAGACGGTAGTAGTCCTTTTCTCTCCAGTCGTAATACCAAACTGCATCGAATGATTCGAATGGAATTGTTTCTTGGACCAAAATGTGTCCGTCTGCTGATAGTCGAGGGGAGAACTTGGCGATGGAATCATACGTGATGTAGATGTAGACAAGATCAGTTTGATCAATCTTCCTGAATCTCAGCACCATTTGACTTCTCACATCCCACGGCGCGAACGGCACGAAGAACGTATTGATGCGGTCGCCTCCTCCTCCTGGACGTAGTCCTTCTCTGAAGATTTGAGCGATGTTGTCAAATGTGGTGCAATGAAATCCTCCTCCAAGAGTGTATCCTACTCCAGGGTTCATCTGATATGAAGTCTTCTTGTCTTCAATGTGCACACCGCCTTGAACTCTTGAATGCGCCATAGGGGCACGGATTGCCACCGGCCAAAGCCAAATCTCTCGATCTGCTGTGCCGATCTCCAACCTCAGTGTTTGTCGATCAAGTCTAGAGGTCAATCCATCATTGAAGTTGTTCATGATGTGTTCCAACTCACCTTTCGTGACCTTGAGTCCTAGCACTTGTGCTCGGATTCTCTTCGTTTGCTTGTACTCAGTGAAGATCACTCTCTGGAAATTGTTCCATCTCTCAACAAGTATCGGGTAGTTGACGTAGGCCGTTCCAGCCAAAGTATGTTGGTCTTTCCAAATGGCATCGTACTTCAAGATCGACTCAACATTGACCCAACCTGCCTCGTCGCATGGTAGTCCACGGTGATTTCGATTGTCTCTGACGCAACCCACGGAGTGGCGTAGCGCTGCATTGAATCTTTTTGACAATTCGACTATCCATGGCGGATTTTCCCACTTGTTGCCCATCCACTCATTCTCGCCATATCGATGCACCTTGCACCAGCCCATTCCAAGATATTCTTCTCCGTTGATGCGGGCAAGTTGAAGTTTACCGATGTTGTGGCCGTGTGTGAATGGTTGGATGTACTTGAAATTCCAGTTGTTTCCATGTTGTTTTCTTTCTTCAGTAAGCCATTTTACATAAGCATCATGATCAAGGGGGTTCCAAGCGTTCAGCTCTTCAATGGTCGGCAAAACAGGCGGGGATTCCTCAGCCGCACGCTCAATCAGCAAGTCAAGCTCATGACGATTCTTCACACCTCGGCTAATTGGGTTGACTTCGACACCATTCACTAAGTATTGTCCTCCTTCTTCACGATCACCAATGTCGTACATAAAGGCTGACTGACTGTAGAAGCACTTGGTCACTTCCTCTTTCTCAGTGAATCTGGTTCTTCCCCAACGCTTTCCTCGTGGCATGACGTTCTTTGGGAGCTTGTCTTTTCTGCCTCTGGTT